AAGCATATGGAATGGGGTGGGGAGCTGTGTGGGAACTGAGAGGAAGTGTGTGGAATGGGGTTGGGAGCTGTGTGGGAACTGAGAGGAAGTGTGTAGGATGGGGTGGGGGAGCTGTGTGTGAACCAGGAGGAAGCATATGGAATGGGGTGGGGAGCTGTGTGAACTGGCAGGAAGCATGTAAAATGGGGTGGGAGCTGTGTGGGAACTGAGAGGAAGTGTGTAGGATGGGGTGGGGGAGATGTGTGTGAACCAGGAGGAAGCATATGGAATGGGGTGGGGAGCTGTGTGAACTGGCAGGAAGCATGTAAAATGGGGTGGGAGCTGTGTGGGAACTGAGAGGACGTGTGTAGGATGGGGTGGGGGAGCTGTGTGTGAACCAGGAGGAAGCATATGGAATGGGGTGGGGAGCTGTGTGTGAACCAGGAGGAAGCATATGGAATGGGGTGGGGAGCTGTGTGGGAACTGAGAGGAAGTGTGTGGAATGGGGTGCGGAGCTGTGTGGGAACTGAGAGGAAGTGTGTAAGATGGGGTGGAGAGCTGTGTGGGAACTGAGAGGAAGTGTGTGGAATGCGGTGGGGAGCTGTGTGGGAACTGAGAGGAAGTGTGTGGAATGGGGTGGGGAGCTGTGTGGGAACTGAGAGGAAGCATATGGAATGGGGTGGGAGCTGTGTGGGAACTGAGAGGAAGTGTGTGGAATGGGGTGGGGAGCTGTGTGGGAACTGAGAGGAAGCATATGGAATGGGGTGGGAGCTGTGTGGGAACTGAGAGGAAGCATATGGAATGGGGTGGGGAGCTGTGTGGGAACTGAGAGGAAGCATATGGAATGGGGTGGGGGAGCTGTGTGGGAACTGAGAGGAAGTGTGTAGGATGGGGTGGGAGCTGTGTGGGAACTGAGAGGAAGTGTGTAGGATGGGGTGGGGAGCTGTGTGGGAACTGAGAGGAAGTGTGTAGGATGGGGTGGGAGCTGTGTGGGAACTGAGAGGAAGTGTGTGGAATGGGGTAGGGAGCTGTGTGGGAACTGAGAGGAAGCATATGGAATGGGGTGGGGAGCTGTGTGGGAACTGAGAGGAAGTGTGTAAGATGGGGTGGGGAGCTGTGTGGGAACTGAGAGGAAGTGTGTGGAATGGGGTGGGGAGCTGTGTGGGAACTGAGAGGAAGTGTGTGGAATGCGGTGGGGAGCTGTGTGGGAACTGAGAGGAAGTGTGTGGAATGGGGTGGGGAGCTGTGTGGGAACTGAGAGGAAGTGTGTAGGATGGGGTGGGAGCTGTGTGGGAACTGAGAGGAAGTGTGTGGAATGCGGTGGGGAGCTGTGTGGGAACTGAGAGGAAGTGTGTGGAATGGGGTGGGGAGCTGTGTGGGAACTGAGAGGAAGTGTGTAGGATGGGGTGGGGAGCTGTGTGGGAACTGAGAGGAAGTGTGTAGGATGGGGTGGGGAGCTGTGTGGGAACTGAGAGGAAGTGTGTAGGATGGGGTGGGAGCTGTGTGGGAACTGAGAGGAAGCATATGGAATGGGGTGGGAGCTGTGTGGGAACTGAGAGGAAGTGTGTGGAATGGGGTAGGGAGCTGTGTGGGAACTGAGAGGAAGTGTGTAGGATGGGGTGGGGAGCTGTGTGGGAACTGAGAGGAAGTGTGTGGAATGGGGTGGGGAGCTGTGTGGGAACTGAGAGGAAGTGTGTGGAATGGGGTGGGGAGCTGTGTGGGAACTGAGAGGAAGTGTGTAAGATGGGGTGGGAGCTGTGTGGGAACTGAGAGGAAGCATATGGAATGGGGTGGGAGCTGTGTGGGAACTGAGAGGAAGTGTGTGGAATGGGGTAGGGAGCTGTGTGGGAACTGAGAGGAAGTGTGTAGGATGGGGTGGGGAGCTGTGTGGGAACTGAGAGGAAGTGTGTAAGATGGGGTGGGGAGCTGTGTGGGAACTGAGAGGAAGTGTGTAGGATGGGGTGGGGAGCTGTGTGGGAACTGAGAGGAAGTGTGTAGGATGGGGTGGGGAGCTGTGTGGGAACTGAGAGGAAGTGTGTAGGATGGGGTGGGGAGCTGTGTGGGAACTGAGAGGAAGTGTGTAGGATGGGGTGGGGGAGCTGTGTGTGAACCAGGAGGAAGCATATGGAATGGGGTGGGAGCTGTGTGGGAACTGAGAGGAAGTGTGTGGAATGGGGTGGGGAGCTGTGTGGGAACTGAGAGGAAGTGTGTAAGATGGGGTGGGAGCTGTGTGGGAACTGAGAGGAAGCATATGGAATGGGGTGGGAGCTGTGTGGGAACTGAGAGGAAGTGTGTAGGATGGGGTGGGGAGCTGTGTGGGAACTGAGAGGAAGTGTGTAAGATGGGGTGGGGAGCTGTGTGGGAACTGAGAGGAAGTGTGTAGGATGGGGTGGGGGAGCTGTGTGTGAACCAGGAGGAAGCATATGGAATGGGGTGGGGAGCTGTGTGGGAACTGAGAGGAAGTGTGTGGAATGGGGTGGGGAGCTGTGTGGGAACTGAGAGGAAGTGTGTAAGATGGGGTGGGGAGCTGTGTGGGAACTGAGAGGAAGTGTGTAGGATGGGGTGGGGGAGCTGTGTGTGAACCAGGAGGAAGCATATGGAATGGGGTGGGGAGCTGTGTGGGAACTGAGAGGAAGTGTGTAGGATGGGGTGGGAGCTGTGTGAACTGAGAGGAAGTGTGTAGGATGGGGTGGGGAGCTGTGTGTGAACCAGGAGGAAGCTTATGGAATGGGGTGGGGAGCTGTGTGGGAACTGAGAGGAAGTGTGTGGAATGGGGTGGGGAGCTGTGTGGGAACTGAGAGGACGTGTGTAGGATGGGGTGGGGGAGCTGTATGGGGACTGGAGCAGAGTGGAAGGGGTTTTCAGGGGCTGTGTGGGTGCTGTGGGGACCGTGGGACTCTGAGAAGTGCGTCTGTGTGTGTGGAACATTGCGGGAGCTGTGAGCATCTGTGGGACTCTGAGAAGTGAGGACTGTGTGAGGGATCATGTGGGGAGCCATGTGAGGAAAGGTTTGAGGAATGCAGGAAACTGGGGAGCTGTGAGGAACTGTGAGATCAAGTGTCAGGCGCTGTGAAGATTTGCATGTGGAGAGGTGGGAAGAACGCGTGTGTAATGAGGCCCTAGTAGCGATCTCTGAGGATCGGGTGGAACTGTTAAACTGTGAAAGAATTGTGTGTGTGAGCTTGCGGGAAACCATGAGGAACGACGTGAGGAGCCTGAGTGATCCCCGCGGTCGCCATGTGGCTGGAGTCCAGTTTGCAGTGACTGCTGTGTTCCTTCGTGGAGGGAGGAAGGGAACTGAGGAGCTGGGCGAGGAGCCCTTTGGGGAAATGGGGAGGTGGGAGGGACTGAGGGACTGCATGGTGACTGCCAGCAGCTCCCTGAGGGCTATGCCTGGGTCTGAGGACATCTGGAAGCCGCGTGGAAATCACAGGACTGGCCATGTGAAGGACCCTGCAACGGACTGTGATGGAGACTTTTGAAGGAGCCGAGTGAGAGGGTTTTCGAGGAACTAGTTGAGGAACAGTGCCTGGAGCAGGGTGTACCGGCAGAGGCTGGCCGATCTGAGGATCTGAGGTCCTTCCCTGCTTGTCAGGAGGGGCTTGGCCGAGCTCTAATGGGCAGCAGTGGGCGGGTCCTCAGCAGGGCTCATAGCGCCTGCTTTAGCCAAGGACTGGTCCTCAGGCCATTCGCGTTTCATGAAGGGTAGGTAGGGACAGGGTGGCCTGGGGTGACCGTCAGGGTGGAAGGTCAGCATCGCACTGACCCAGACTTGAGACAGTGGAGGCTGGGGAGGCAGAGGGGGAGAGCGGGGTGGTCCTGGGAGATGGCCCACTGGACAGAGGCTGTGAGGGAGCGGGAAACCTGGGGGGCTGCTGGCTCCTTGCTGAGCTGGCTGAATGGACATTTATGTGGAAACAAGAAATATGACATATGGCAGAGAATTCACCCTGAGGAATTAGAAAATCAAAAACCGAACTAGAAATAGATTTTGTTCCTACCAAGTTTCCAAAGGAAAGAGAAACCTTGATCGCAGAGAGGTCGGTGCGGCGCTCTGGAAGCCCCTTAGACAGGGCATCAAGAGCTTCGCATTTTTCCATGCCCTGCGGGCCGGTGGAGTCTTCCTGGGGTTGTCTTCGAGAACAGTGGTGACTGTGTGTGCCCAGCCCTCGAGGTGGCTTCTGCGGGCATGTCCCTGGGTACAGGCTCCAGGGCCGGGGGCCTTACCTGCCGGCCCAGCAGGTACTCTGCAAATGCTTCATAAGGCAATGCACACAGGAACGGTAGACATTGGAAGTCACTGAAACCCACAGTTAGTGGGTTCATTTAATCAGTCACAGAGTGCCCATCAGAAGCAACCCCCGGCAGCCGTGATGTGGTTGGAGTCCATGTTTTGAGGAACTGTTATTTACCTTAATAGAGGAATAAAGAGCCAAAGAGATGGCAAGAGCATGGAGGATGCTTGATTCTGAGGACAGGCGCTGCAGGGCCTGTGAGCTGACTTAGATGGGGCAGAGGGCAGGTGAACGCTGGGTGAAGGGGAGGGTAAGCTGGCAGGGAGGAAGGTGCGGCTGAGGCCAGGGGCCCGGAGGGCCACATTTAGTTGTGGGGCCTCTTCCCTTAGGTCAGAAGGAGTCGCTGATGGTGTTTGAGGAGGAGCCATGGGCTCAGATGGGTCCTTCAGGCAGGGTAGAGGGAGGGCACACTTGCTGGTGACATCAGCACTCCTGGCTCGTGTCCGGCTGTGTGGCCCAGACACAGCAAGGGTGGAGGAGGGAGGAACCAGAGGGATGTGCTCTCAAGTCCATGACTGTGGCCTCGAGGAGCCCTCTGGGGTGGCGCCCTGGGGTCTGGGCAGGTAGAGGCCTGGGCAGCCTGTGAACGTGTCCAGCCCAGCGGGCCCCACCCCCCCATCCCAGCCTCCAGCTTTGGGGAACCACGTGGCAGGGCCTGCTTGGGCTCCTCCCTTTCCCTTCCTCTCCAGTGGGCCTAGCTTGACCTTGAATGTTCTTCCCCCACAGAACAAGAAAAAGAAGAAGACAGATTTCATTCCTTACCGAGACTCCGTGCTGACCTGGCTCCTCAGGGAAAACCTGGGTGAGAACTTGTGGGTCTGCCTGTCACCAGGAGGCCTCTCACCCTGTCTCAGCTGAGGCCGGGAGGTGAACCTGGAGGGTCCAGTCAGTTCGTGGCCCTTCTGGTGGGCCTGGGGCAATGGCTAGCAGTGGGTTAATGTAGCAAGTGTCCAGACCAGGACGGCCCAGGGGGCAGCACAGCCCACACCTGCCTGTGTCCGTGGTCCTGGGTCACGTGGGCCGTGACCCCCTTCTCTGGGCCTTGGTTTTCCCTACCTGTAGTGGGGGCTTAGGATTTGATCTGGGAGCGCTGCTTGCTGGGATTTGAGGGGCTGTCATGAACCTCCTCCTCCGCGTCTGAGTTCTGAGCAGTGAGAGTTAGATGGGGAGGTGGGGATTGAAATGCACCCAACACTGATCCCGGCCCTCCCTGAATACCGTTAGAGTCCTCCCCAGCTGCATTTACAGCTGAGAGGCTGGTGCCCAGGGAGATAAACTGAGTCTTGAGCCTGGCGAACATAGATGACTGGGGGGTCTCAGGCCTCCCTTGGCTGCATGGCTGAGGTGCGCAGAGCCCTGGCTGATCACCTCTGCACCCCACAACTAGCCAGGCTGCTCCCCAGCTCAGGCTGGCATTGCGGACTGCAGCAGGCCTGCTGGTGGAGAAGCAGGTGGATGGGCCTCGCTGAGCGAGGAAGAGAGTGTTCCTTCACCTGAGATGCGGGCTGGGAAGGAGCCCGGGCTCCAGGTACAACCAGGTCCAGCCCCAGGGTGGGGGCAGGGGAGTCCTCCCATGGAGCCTTTCCTTGGGTTCGTGTGGCCTGTGCCCAGCGCCTCACACTGTCTCCTCAGGCCCTATCAGGACTCACCAGGGACCCATGCCCTGGGAACATGGCCCCGAGGACACACAGGTCCCTGGGGTCAAGCAGGCAAAGTCATCTGTCCAGACTTGAAGCACCGGGAGGCGGCAGTCCCAAGGGCTGGGTGGACTCAGTGGTGACCTTGTCTGATGGCTGAGGCCGCCATGACCCGATTCCCTGAAGAGAAGGAACAGTCTGTCCCTCACACTGCACATTACACTTGCGGGGATCCGGCTAACACGGGCCAGGACTCTGATGATAAATACCGAGAAAAATGTTTCAAATGAAAATGGTGGAAGTGCGTGAGAAAATCATAGGACATAGACGGTCTTTATCTCGGAGTAAATGCCTTAAAACCCGCCACAACTTGCCTCTCTGCTGTGGAGGAAAGTGCCCCAAAGGAGAGGAAAACCCGAGAAGTAATGGGGTGCCTGGTGCAGAGGTGAGGAGGCAGCCAAGGAAGCTGGGGCCTTGCTGTTGTCTGTGGTCATGTGGGGGTGTGAGCCCAGCCTCAGTTTATCTCTCTGGGCCTCAGCCTTCCCATCTGCAGATGTCGGGGGAGGGAGGGAACAGGCACAGCACTGGGGCCTAGACCCTTCTCTGGGCACAACCTGGTCTACTGCCCACAGGTGGTAACTCAAGGACAGCTATGGTGGCAGCCCTGAGCCCTGCAGACATCAACTACGACGAGACCCTCAGCACTCTGAGGTGAGTTCTCCGGGGAGGCGGGCTCTGCTTCCGCCCACTGGTCTTGGGGGACGGATCCTTGTGTTTGAATTAGGAGCGTCAGTGAGCAGGGGCGACTCTTTTTGGGGGGTTTATCTTGGACTCTATGAGACTGGAAGGGACTGTTACTGGGCCTCCTGGGCCTGCATGGGCCCTGTCCCATTCCCTCCAAGGAGCCTTTGGGGTGTGTTTTGGGGCTGCAGGCAGCCCAGGGCCCTGTGGCACCAGACTGGGAGAGCTATGCCTGTGGGCAAAGCAGTTGACACCTGCCAGCCGGGGAGCCATTGGAGATTTTTAGATGGCAAAGGGGGCATAGGTGTGTCTTATGGGCAGGGCGGGCACCAGGGGTGGGGAGCCTGGGCCCTGGCCCTGCTGGACACTGCTCGGTGGCTTGGGTGGTGGTCTGTCCCCTGTTTTGACCCTGCACCACCAGTGCTTACGAGAAGCAAAGGGCGCGTGTCCCAGTAGAGGCTGGTGTACTTGCTGGCAATGCAGACGTGCGTGTCGGCCGATACACGGCATGGGCAGAAGCCTACACACGGAGCTGTCCCCACGTTTTCCCCATGACTTTCTCCCTCTCTCCTGAAACAACTGGGGGTGAGGACACCACCCCGTCCCTGCTCTCCTGGGCCTCAGTTTCCCCGAGCGGGTGAGCTGGAACTGGGTGACCTCACCTGTACGTCTCCTCTGGCCTGTGGCCCCAGATGCTCCCCCTGGTGACTTGCCATGGGGTGACTTCCCACTCTGTGCCAGGCTGTGCTGGCTTGGGTCCACCCCTGGTTTGGCTGCTGAGCCTGAAAGGCTGGGTCTTGGGCAGGGCCCCAGGCACCCTTGGGACCTGCCAGGCATGGCCCTGTCCCGAGCACAGCCGACAGCCCCCTTTGCTGCCCAGGTATGCTGACCGGGCCAAGCAGATCCGCTGCAATGCTGTCATCAACGAGGACCCCAACAACAAGCTGATCCGCGAGCTGAAGGACGAGGTGACCCGGCTGCGTGACCTGCTGTACGCCCAGGGTCTCGGCGACATCACCGACAGTGAGTGCCCACCCAGCCTGTCTGGACAGGGTGTGGGACCTCAGGCTCAGGGGCCTCGCAGGGCATCACGTACTGTCCTGGGGCCACCACTCTGCTGGCCACACCTTGGGCTGGGGCGGCTCCAAGCTGCTCTGAGAGCCCCTTGGGGCCAAATCCCTGTCCCTGCTCTGTGTTCCTAGGCAGAACTGCCTCTGGGAGGGAGGCAGGATGGGGGGCCCTGGACAAGGGCGTTTCCTGGCTTTGTCCTGGATGGTACCGCATGGTTTGGGTTTGGTACAGATGCGAGTGGGCCAGAGACAGCTCCCCTGGAAGCCCTACAGGCAGGCTGTGGGTGCTGGGGTCACAACAGGCCCCGTGTTCTGCAGCTGCAGATTTTCACCACCCTGCTCGTGGCCACGCACGCACTGCTGGCCACCCTGGCCTGTGAAGGGTGTGCCTGACCCTCTGGACAAACCTGTTCTTCTGTTTCTCTGTCTCTCCCCCTCCCCCACGCTCCCTTACCCCGTAGCCAACACTGTGCCTGGAGGACCCAAATGTGTGTATTCCCTCTGCTGCTCTCTGCATCACTGCTTCCAGCCCCAGCCAGCATGGGGGCCTAGGGCAGCACGGGCAGGGAGGGGTGAGCCCAGGGCACTGGCTCTGCTTTCTTCTCTTTTTGGGGCAGAAAGCACTGTTCTCCCACAGCCACAGGGCCTGCTGGTAGATGTGGGATTCTCTCTGCCTCTGAGCCCACACCCTGACTCATTCCCATCCATATGGTCTAGATGGGAGGCGAGGCCATGGGGGAGTATGGGTGTAGCTGAGGCCTTCTTAGGCTCCAAGTGGCCAAGGTCAGGCCCCTGACCCTCTGTGCCCCCAGAGGCCTGCGAAGGTCAGGATATCAGCACCGAAGGGCCAGAAGGCTGGAGGGACTTACCAGTCCCCAGCTCTTAGCTCAAGCTTCTGTGTGCCAGGCCATTTCTCCAGCTGACCTGACCCCACACGCCCAGGCCCTCCACTCTGGAAGTGCCACAAGCCTCAGCTTTCACTGTGATGCTGCCAAATCCCGCTCAGCCTCTGTGCCTCCTGGCCTTGGCTCTGGCTCCATGGGGCTGGGTACCTCCTGAGCCTGGCTGCGGGCACCCTCACCTCCCCCATGCCCGTCCTGAGCCTGGCTGCGGGCACCCTCACCTCCCCCATGCCCGTCCTGAGCCTGACTGCGGGCACCCTCATCTCCCCCACGCCTGTGTCCGGTGCTTACTGCTGCTCTGCTGTTTGTTTGCTTATGCTAGGAGACCCCTGGCACTGCCCACTCCAGTGATGTCACAGCTCCACCTTCCAGGCCTTAGGGGCATGTGAGCGTAGGTGGGAGGGTGTGTGCCTCGTGGTGGCGGGGAAGGGCGTCTCTCAGAGGGTCCATGTTCGCCTCCTCCACGATGGTCTCTGGGCTGATGACCACAGGGGACAGTGGCTGAACGGTTAGTGCAGCCTGGCCCCACAGCTCAGGGCTGTGTGGTGTCCCACGGTGGGTTCGAGGGGTGGGAGGACAAGTGTGGGGTCTGTACGGTGCACTGCTGGGTGGCCTCGGCAAGCCACTGAACAGGGCGGGAAGACGTAGGGTTGACAGGCTCGCAGCCCCCGGGTGCGGGGTCTGCATGGCGGCCTGGCCGTGAGGCCTGGAGTGCAGCTCAGGATAGGGAGACACCTGGCAGGGGGTGCGGGGGAGCTCCAGGATGCCCAGGGCTGTGTCACGCTGCTGCTGGGGAGGGCAGGCTTGGGGGACAGGTGGGCACGTGGGTGCCACTGCCGGTCGGGTCCTGTCAGAGGTGGGGGTGGCAGGAAGGCCTTGCATGCACCTGTCCTGGGCCGGCAGGGCTGCTGTGCCACGCTGTGCTTTGTGTCTTGCCTTCTCTGGGCCCTGCCTCTTACTTTTTCCCATCTTCGTCTTTTTTCTCTCCCTCCCTGTCTGTCTGCCTGCCCTGCCCCTCCTCCTCATAGACATGTCCGACCTTGAGAACAATAACCTTAACCGTGGTGGGACGGTGAATCCAGCCCCTGACCCTCTCTCCACAGTGACCAATGCCTTGGTGGGCATGAGCCCCTCGTCCTCACTCTCGGCCCTGTCCAGCCGTGCAGCCTCCGTGTCCAGCCTCCACGAGCGCATCTTGTTTGCCCCGGGCAGCGAGGAGGCCATCGAGAGGCTGAAGGTGAGGGCACCGCATGGGGCTTCGGGGTGGCAGGCTCTGGGAGTGGGGGGCTTGGAGGAGTGAGAGCCCCTTGCCTCCTGGGCATAGCCCGTCCTCATGGACGGGTCCATCATGGAGGACCTGCAGGAGCCTCTGGCGTGCGGCACACAGGTGCCCCATGCCTGGCCTGTGCCCAGACCACCCACAGCAGCCAAGGCAGCAAGTTCACTTGGGCATCCCCAGGCTGGGGTCTGCATGACACTCAGCTGCCAGACAGGAAACGCCATGGGTGTCTGGATGGCCTGTGCCCCACGCGGGCCAAGCCTGGAGCAGAGAAGCTCTAAGCATGAACCTCTAGGATGGAGACTCCTCCCGTGGGTCTTTGACTGTGAGTGTGCGCTTGCTCAGGGAGCAGTGAGCTGGATGGCGGCTGTGGGTGGAGGGGGTCTCATCCCCCTCCCAGTGGGTGGATGGCGTCTGTGGGTGGAGGCGGACCCTGCAGTGCCCCTCCACTGGTGACAGTGCCAGGTCACAGCAGCTTCCTGTCTGGTGTCCCACAGAACTGCACCCACTGAGAAGGGCCGAGACTGTGGTGCAGGCTCCTGAGCGCCCCCTGGCATTCTGTGTTCTATCTGCACAGCTGCCTGGGAACAGTCACCACCCCACTGTCCCAGGTCTGGCGTGTTCCCTGGCACCCAGCAACGGGCCGGGGGCGTTTTAGGTTTCCAGTCACAGGCCCCTCCGTGAATGGCTGTGCAGGGGCCGGCTGAGCTGCACGCCTGGGGACTGAGGGGCTGAGGGGAAGGGCAGAGGCCCCACTGAGGCATGTGAGGCAGCAGATGGGGGTGGGGTGGGCCCCGTGAGCCTGGAGCAGAGGGCCCTCGTGGGGTGTTGGGTCCCACTGTGGTGTTGGGTCCCACTGGGGTGTTGGGTTCTACTGGGGTGTTGGGTGCCACCGGGGTGTTGGGTCCCACTGGGGTGTTGGGTGCCACCGGGGTGTTGGGTCCTACTGGGGTGTTGGGTCCTACTGGGGTGTTGGGTGCCACTGGGGTGTTGGGTCCCGCCGGGGTGTTGGGTGCCACCGTGGTGTTGCGTCCCGCCGGGGTGTTGGGTCCCCACTGGGGTGTTGGGTCCTGCTGGGGTATTGGGTCCTACTGGGGTGTTGGATCCCCACTGTGGTGTTGGGTCCTACTGTGGTGTTGGGTCCCCACTGGCGTGTTGGGTCCCCACTGGGGTGTTGGGTCCCGCTGGGGTGTTGGGTCCCAGCAGGCTTCAGGTGGAAGAAACCGGAGACCAGGCTGCTGCTGGGCAGCGTCGTCCATGTCCTGAAGAGGGGCGAGCACCCAGGGCTCCGGGCAGCGGTGAGGACCGCTGTGTCTTAGGAGCTGAGGCTCAGCATCTCCCAGGAGCATTTGCTTCTCATTTCCCTGCAGATTTGTTAACGTGTTTCCCCGTTTTCTTGAGTGTGTCTAAGGGAAAACGCACATTCTGTGAGCTTCACCTTGGTCTGCTGGATGCCTCATGTGCCTGGACGGGCCCAGGAACATGGGCTCTTGTGCTTTGCAGCCCCTTCTCCTGGCACCCGAGTCTCCATTGTCCTCTCCCCTGGCCCCAGCCCCGGCAGCTCACTGTGCTCTGCCTCAATCCCCAGGAAACAGAGAAGATCATAGCCGAGCTCAATGAGACCTGGGAGGAGAAGCTGCGGCGGACGGAAGCCATCCGGATGGAGAGGTGTGCGGCGGGGAAACTGAGGCCCAGGGAGGGGCGCAGCCAGCAAGCCCAAAGCCTGGGCAGGATGAATACTGGGCCCTGCCCTCCAGTACTGGGCTCCTGTACCCTGGGTGGCCACATCCCAGCCCAGGGCATACCTGTTCCCTCGCTCCCAGTGACTCCCACCTGGTACGCTGCTGGCTGCTGGCCACAGAGGCCTGATAGACCTGATCCCTGTCCATGGTGCAGAGGGGCGGATCTCATCAGCAGATGCCCTGACCCACTGACCAGATGGGACAGGCATGGGCACCACCCAAGCTACGGTGGCCACAGGCCTGCTGCCTGAGTTGGTCAGCCAGGCCCGAGGCCAGGAAGCCTCGCGAAGCTTGTGCTGACTTCAGCTCTGTTCCTCCAGGGAAGCCCTGCTGGCCGAGATGGGCGTGGCCATGAGGGAGGATGGCGGCACCTTGGGCGTCTTCTCTCCCAAAAAGGTAGGAGCGGTCCCACTTCTGTGGTACTGCCCTGATCGGAACAGGACCGGGCGAGGTGCTGTCTTACAGAGAACCAGGGGGTGCCTTGGGAGGAGGGGGCCTCTGGCCCTGTGCTCTGGGGTGCAAAGCGCATCCACAGGCACACTTGGCTTTTTCTGGGAAAATCGGTCCCCACATTCTCATGGTGGGGTGTCCTGGTGGCTTTGATAGGTCAGATAGGTCTTGTAGTGGCCTGAGGTGTGGACTGGGCTCCCCAGGGTCAGGGCAAGGCTGTGGAGCCAACACCCAGTCTGGAGACTGAGACACGTGGGACTGGACCTGGCCTGGAGCCGTGCTGCTCACAGAGCTGGGCACCAGCTGCCTCCTTAGAACTCAGCTGGGAGTCAGGTCTGACTGTTCCAGCAGGGGCCCCTCCTCACACCAGGCGAAGCCTAAGGGGCTTTCAGCTGGGGAGCCTCAAATGGCACAGAGCCCCTGGGCAGCTGCTTCAGAGTGTATGTGGCCCCGGTGCCCCCATCCAGTAGCCTAGGTGGGGCTGGTCTCTCCTGTGGTTCTGATCCCCGGACCCCACACACCCACCGCAAAGATGGTCAGGAGAGTGGAGCGCCTTAGGAGCGGAGCTCTGGCTGGCAGGGTGGGGTGCTGGTGGGGGGCTCCCTGGGCCTGCCTTGGGCTGGGCCTGCTCTGGACATTGCTCATCTGATGGCTGCATCAGGAGTGGAGAGGGTAGCCCTGGGAGGGGCCCAGTTGCAGGGCACCCCTGTGGATGGCGGCCAGGCCGCCCAAGCCACTCCAGCCAGTGCACAGCACACACGCAGGGCTTCCCTGCACACGAAGTGAGGCTTTTTGATGCTACTCATGCTTCTGGCCCACAGGAGTGGGGTCCTCCCTAGGACGGCACAGGGGTCCCTGGCATTGCTGTTGCTGTCACATACCAGGTGTCACATCCAGTGGAGGCTTGGACATGGGGACAGACATCTGTGTGACCATAGCTTGGGAGGGGCTGGGCAGGACTGTGCTCCAGACCAGGGGCCCACTATGTGCTGAGGTCCAGAGGCAGGAGGGGTCTGAGAGGAGCTGTAGGCAGTTTCCAGTCCTGGGCAGGGCGGGGACGGGCCGTGCCCTGATGGGGCTTCACTACACGTGTTGTCTAGACAGGCCTTTGGTTTGGTCTGGGATGGATTCTTCCCTGCACTGTTTCAGACCTTCTCCCCTTCCCTGAGTGGTAGGGTGGAACTCCAGGGTGTGGCTTTAATGGTGGCCCTGGGTCTGGGAACTGCCCAGAAGTGGAGCCACTGGGGACCCCCTTTCTGAGAAGTTCAGTGTTCTTGGGACTCACAAGAAGTGAACAGGCCAATGGGGTCCCAAGGCTGCAGCCCCTGTTTGGCCCTAAAGCTGTAGGCACAGCTTCTCCTGGCAGACATCCTTGTCACTCAGGGGTGGGGATGGCTGGGGATGGTCTGTCTTTTTTGTCAGAAGACCAAGTGTCCACCCTCAGCACGGGAGAGCCGCAGGCTGGCGGACATCTTTGTCACTCGGGGTTGGGGACGGCTGGGGATGGTCTGTCCCTTTTGTCAGACGACCAGGTCTCCACCCTCTGTAGGGGGAGCCCCAGGTGGCTCATCAAGGACTCCTACAACCGCTTCACTTCCCAGGCCCCAGAGCTGAGCCCTCCATGGTCAGGGCCCTGATTCTTCTTGGCTCTTGGCTCCCACTGGTGAGCCCACAGTTTCTGGGCTGTCTGAGCTGGATAGGGTCCTAGAACCCCATTTTGTAGTCCAAAGCTGGGAACCCAGGACCCGGTGGGACCCAGCCTCTGCCCTGCACATCTGGGGGTCCACCCAGCCTCAGAGTCCACCCCAGCCCCAGGGCCCCCCCATGCTGAGAGCTGCGCTCTCCACCCTTCTGGAAACTTCCGCTGCAGGGCTGGGGCTGCTGGGCCAGGCCTGGGTATGTGCGGGAGGCTGGGTCCCACCAGCTGCTGCTGTTGGTGGGCTGTCTTCTGCTTGAGCTTTCTGTGTTCCTGTTCCTCATTTTCCTGGCTTGGAGTGACCAGCCTGGTGGGACCAGCTGAGGGTGGGGGCAGGGACCCTTGTGGGTGGTCCAGTGCCTGGGGAGAGGTCGGGGGGCAGCTGGCATCAGGCTCGCGCCCCTGCGGGAGAGATGACCCTCCTGTCTCCCCAAAGACCCCGCACCTCGTCAACCTGAACGAGGACCCGCTGATGTCCGAGTGCCTGCTATACTACATCAAGGACGGGATCACCAGGTGGGGGCCTGGCAGCCGCTCCAGCCGCGCCAGCCTGGGGTCTAGCGGGGGAAGGGTGGACTCCCCACTCCTGCCACTGCAGAGGGGCATCTGCTGGGCTGGCCTCTCCCCCACTGTCACTTCCCCAGCAACCCTGCTGATGTCTGCCCTGGGTGTTCCCCAAATGATCCTGGTGGGTAGTCCCTGGAGGCCAGCGGGTAGCATCCTGGGCATGCTGGGTCCCTGCTGCAGTGCTGATGGTGCCCCCACCCCGCAGGGTGGGCAGGGAGGATGGCGAGAGGCGGCAGGACATTGTTCTGAGTGGCCACTTCATCAAGGAGGAGCACTGTGTCTTCCGGAGCGACTCCAGGGGAGGCAGTGAAGGTATCGCCACCCCCTCCAACCCACGCCCTTGCCCCTGTGCTGTGATGGTCAGGCCTGAATCAGGTCACCCTCTCCCAGCTTCCCCAGCTCTTGGTGGGACCTGAGTCTTACTTCTGGGCAGGACGTGTGTGTTTGTGTGTGTGTGTGTGTGTGTGTGTGTGTGTGTGAGAGAGAGAGAGAGAGAGAGAGAGAGAGAAAGAGAGAGAGGCACCTTTGGACAGAGAGAGACACTTGGGGCCAGCCTCGAAGACAACTTCCACTGGGATGGTGCTTGGGAAAAGGCCTGGTGCCTTCTGTGGCCAGGGGCGGCTGCTGCCTTAAGGAGCTGAGCCTCCTTGAAGGCCAGGGGTGGGGCGCAGGTGGGCTGCTGGCCGAGAAGCGTGTTGGGGCCCAGGGTGGAGGATGTTCGTGGAGGGAAAACAGTGTGCCATGAGGAGTGAGTCCAGATCTAGGGTGGAAAACTATTTCCAGACCTCAGTTTTCTGTTGGCTGTGGGCGGCCATCTGTCCGTTTCCCCTGCCTGCCCAGCGGCCTGCCTCTTGGAGGGGACATGAGCTGTCCGCATTGCCTGGTGCTGCCCCACTCAGAGTGGGCCTGCGGTGTCAGGGTGCGTCACGTGGCTCTCGGCCCAGGCTCAGGGCATCTCCCAGCACATCTGGCAGCCTCTGGTCGGCAGACCTGTCCAACTTGGCCATCTCAGGATGACGGTCTTTCGTGCTGCTGGAGCTGGGTGGCTGTCCTGCAGTTCTCTGACTGCAAAGCCCGCTCTCCTGCGGGTGGCCCAGGACCCATTAGCTGGCTTTTATCCTTGTCCACCTGGAGAGCTGGTCAGCGCCCTGGGTGATCAGGTCCAGCACGGCCTCTCAGCTTCAACATGGGCACATGCATGTCCCTCCTGGGGTCACTTTCTTCCTGTTAAGTGGGCTGAGAACCTGGGCTCCTCTGAGGCCCACGTGAGCATCGCCAATGGTCAGGGTCTGTGTGGCAGGGAGAAGAGAGGCCTGCAAGGGCCCACGCCCAGGGGTCAGGTAAGCTGAGTTGCTGTAGGTCATAGCCCCTTACAGTCCTTCCCTCTGTCCTCCTGCCTTTCCTGTAGCCGTGGTGACCTTGGAGCCCTGTGAGGGGGCAGACACCTACGTCAACGGCAAGAAAGTCACAGAACCGAGCATCCTGCGATCAGGTACATCCGGGGGCCCCGGGGTGCAGTCAGGTGAGTGGGAGAGGCGAGGCCTCCGTTCCCACATTCAGGCCATCGCTTCCTGTGCACCGCCTGCTCCCAGCGGGATGGCAGCTCCGAAGGGCTGTGGGGCATGTAGGGGAGGGTCTGCGGGCACTTGACCAGTTCATGTGCCTCCCCACTTCCCCAACTCCAGGTCCACAGCATCAGGACCCTGGGGCCTGCACCTCGGCCCATTCACACAACACAGGAACCCAAGACATTGCGTCCATGCTGTGGGCTAAGTGAGGAGCAAGGCCATGCCTGCCTTGGAGGAGGCTCTTGCCTCCCGGCCCAGGACTCTGCCCCGTGGGGCTGGCCTGGGGGAGACAGGGCTGTGGTCAGAGGCTTCCCAGAGTTGCAGTGTTGGGGAGCGTCAGCAGGGTGGCAGCTACAGGAGCCTCTGAAAGCAGCCCCCCACCCCCTGCGGGGCTGGGCTCTCTTCCCAGACACTGCAGCCTCTCTGATGTTCAAACACGTGCAGGCACATGTGGTGTAAAAGCCCTTCTTTAGGGAAGTCAGACAGAGGGCCCTCCTGCATGGCATGTGACTGTCGCCTGAATAGTTTGGGTTCCACCAGAGAAACAGCAGCAGGCTGACGCACGGATGGACTAGGATACGTACATCCATGTAAAGAGATTTGTTTCAAGGAATGGGCTTACCAGATTGCAGGGCTGGTCAGGGAAGTCTGAAGCCCACAGGCAGGTGCAGGCTGGGAACTTGGCGGCAGAGGACTCCATCTGCTGGGTTTCTTCTTCCTCAGAGGAAGCCCCAGTTTGCTCTCAGGTCTTCACCTGCTTGGATGAGGCCCACCTTGCTGCTGGGGGCATCAGCCCATTGATTGCAGGTGCTGAGCACATGTGCAGAAACCTCCATGCCACACCCAGGGGGTATGTGACTGAATCCCTGGGTGCTGTGGCCTGGCCAGGCTGACATAAAAATGACCATTGGCGGCCGGGCGCGGTGGCTCAAGCCTGTAATCCCAGCACTTTGGGAGGCCGAGGCGGGTGGATCACGAGGTCAAGAGATCGAGACCATCCTGGTCAACATGGTGAAACCCCGTCTCTACTAAAAATGCAAAAATTATCTGGGCATGGTGGTGCGTGCCTGTAATCCCAGCTACTCGGGAGACCGAGGCAGGAGAATTGCCTGAACCCAGGAGGCGGAGGTTGCGGTGAGCCGAGATGGTGCTATTGCACTCCAGCCTGGGTAACGAGCGAAACTCTGTCTCAAAAAAAAAACAAAAACAAAAACAAAAATGACCATTGGCTTGGAATGGGGGAGACCTTTCCCTGACTGTCTTGGGGGAAAGCGGAGGGGGTAAAGAGGGGAGGTGACACCCAGCATCCTCACTTCTAGCCCATCTGCCCCCTGGAAGGCTTCTGGAGGTGTCCCCGGGACTCAGGAGTCCTGCCTTTGGGGTTCCTGGGCAGGCCTTGGAGGGCAGGACACAGTGAACGCCCTGAATTCATGGGGTGGGCTTGTCATGGGGAGTCGGTGTGGCTGAGCCTGGGCGAGAGCAGGTCAGATGGACAGACAGCTGTGTCCATTCTCCCTGCTTGTTTGGGGTTGGCCCTGATGCCTATGGGACTCGGGGTGAGGCCTAGGCTAAGAGAGGCCTTATTTTGAGTCTCCCCTCCCTGTGTCTGAAGTGGGCTTCACATGGGCCTGTGGACGGGGAGGATAGCGAGGGGGTGCCCAGGGAGGACAGACCTGCAGGCACGGGCCACCTGGCGGGGAGGTGGGGCAGAGCCAGCTCTATGGGGCGTCAAGACAGAGCTGGGACTCGCAGGAAGTTAGGGGGAAACTAAATCATCCAAAGAGAGTCCTGCAGGCAGGACTGACCCAGGACAGTGAGTGCTGCCCCGGAGGGCCCTGCAGATGGGGCAGCCCGAGAGGGGTCCAGCGGCTGTCGGGGGAGGGTCCTGGCTGGGTGTGGGGGGTGGTTGGGGGGATGTCTCGGCTGGGATAGGATGCCAGGGGCTTGGGGGGTAAGAGGCAGGTGCAAGGCTGGCCTGGGGAGGGGCGGGGACACTAGAGCACAGCAGAGGCCCCAGTTCTATGGTTCACCAGTGTCACTGGCTGCTGAGTGGGAGAGTGAGGAGGTACTTTCAGGTCCCAGCGAGGACTCGGGAAGGAGTGGCTTGAGCTGGGGATGGTGGGGTGCCTGCAGCCGTTCCCCTTTCTCCTCATGTCTTCCCCTTGAGACCTTCAGGGACCTGAAGATCCCCTAAGGCCACCTGTGCCTCTGTCCCCCAGGGAACCGCATCATCATGGGCAAGAGCCACGTGTTCCGGTTCAACCACCCTGAGCAGGCCCGGCAGGAGCGAGAGCGCACGCCCTGCGCAGAGACGCCTGCCGAGCCTGTGGACTGGGCTTTTGCCCAGCGTGAGCTGCTGGAGAAGCAGGGCATCGACATGAAGCAGGAGATGGAGCAGAGGTGAGGCGGACGCCACCCCCGTCGGCCCGCTGCCCCGCCCCCTTCCTGTGCTCACCCCACTGCTCCCTTGCAGGCTCCAGGAACTGGAGGACCAGTACCGCCGTGAGCGGGAGGAGGCCACCTACCTGCTGGAGCAGCAGCGGCTGGTGAGCGACATGGCCCTGCCCTGCCCTCACTGCCCGGCCACCACCCACACCAGGGACCCTTGTCCTCCCATGCCCCCACTACTGGCTTGCCCAGCCCCATCTCTTGCATCCAAGCGGTGGGATGCGGTGATGCCCTGTCTAGGCGCAACTCGGGAGGCCTGGGAAGGGAGAGCTGTGGTGGAGCCGCAGCCTTGCTTCTGCAGGACTATGAGAGCAAGCTGGAGGCCCTGCAGAAGCAGATGGACTCCAGGTACTACCCGGAGGTGAATGACGAGGAAGAGGAGCCTGAGGATGAAGGTGAGGGCGCCAGGCCAGCACCTGCTGCGTCAGGAGGGTCTCAGCATGGAGGTGGGCAGCCCTGGGCCCCTCCCTGGAGGTCAGTGGTTAGCACTTTTGCCCTGAGGTCTGGACCTCTTCAGGGTGATAGCTCTTTGTCCTGGGAAGCACTGTGGAAGCAGGATTGTGGGAGGGGGTAGGCGTTCCCACAGCTGGCAAGCACCCCTGCACACCCACTTGCATGTGCACACACATGCCCACATTCATGCACACACACGTGCACACACACGCTGGCCCTGACAAGAGTGGCTGGATGATGACGGGGGTGGGGAGTGGCACTGGTAGGAGCTCACCAGGCTCATGTGCATCCACTCGCCCCATCCTGCTGACCACGAGGCTCATGGAGGCCCTGAGGAATAGTCCACTCTGCACATCAGCTCGGGATTCACTTAGCGAGCATGTGCTGGGAAGCCAACCTGGCTGACCTCCTGCTGCCGGGGCAGCAGTGGCCCATACGCAGGTGCAGAGGGCTTTGAGCCCATCTCGGCCTCTGGCCCACTGGTCAGCATCTGTGTGCTGCTGTGACCTTGGTCTCTTCCCCTCTCTGGACTCGTTTACCCTGCGAGGCTTCCTCCCACTGCAAAGCTCAGGTGTGCCGGACTGAGGCAGCCAGAGGCTCTGGGTGCTGTGTTGGGAGGAGGGGCAGGGCCTCAGCACAAGCACAGACCCTTCCTGGTGTCCCTGCTGTCCTTCTCTCGAGGGCCCAGTGAATAGACAGGCCATGGGTGGGGAGAGGGTGTTCAGGCCAGCGCAACTGGGAGTGCCTGGCCTGCCCTCCTGCCTCCTCTCCTGTGGGTCCCGCTGCTGCCTGCTGGCCCTAGATGGCGCGTGGCTGTCATTCATTGGTGGCATTGCTCTTGCAGCCGCTCTGATCTTCAGCCTGACTCACAAGGTTGCTCCTGGCAGCCTCTCTTCTGGGCCATGCAGAGCTTTTCATGTCGAGCACTGTGACAGATCTCTGCCGGTTCCTTCTTCCCGTGTACCCAGAACAGTCAGCGTGAAGCCAGGCGCAAGCACACAGCTCTCCCGGCCCAGGCACAGATCAGGGGAAGCCTGGGGAGAGGGCCCATCCACCTCTGGCCCAGCGACCACAGTGGGCATAACCTCCAGTGTTTACCTGATCATCACCCGGCTGTGGTGACATAGAGCCTGGGGTCACACGGCAGCCCCGTGGAGTGGCCGACCAGCTGGACCTTCCAGAGGGTGGGGCATGGGTCAGTGTTGTGGCTGTCCTGAGATGCCCGTGTGTGACCTCTCCCACAGTCCAGTGGACGGAGCGGGAGTGTGAGCTGGCGCTCTGGGCCTTCCGGAAGTGGAAGTGGTACCAGTTCACATCACTGAGGGACCTGCTGTGGGGCAACGCCATCTTCCTCAAGGAGGCCAACGCCATCAGCGTGGAGCTGAAGAAGAAGGTGGGCTGCCCCACTGGCTGCACCGCCTCCTGTTGGAGAGAGGGCATCGGCTCGCTCATGACGGGGACAGCTGCTTGGGACTCAGCGCCTGGTCCTCTGCCAGCCCCGGGGTGGCATAGCAGCCCTGCTTGACCTGGGCCCCCCAGAAGGGTGGGCAGTGAGGGAGCCCAGGACTGGCCAGGCGGGACTTGCCTTCCCTGCTCACGGGAGGCGGTGGCAGAGTGGGCAGGAAGCAGGTGGTCCCCTGCAGCGGCCGTCTGTGAGGTTCTAGTGAACTGCTGTGGGACGTGCAGCTGGAATCTCCAGAAGGTGGGAAGGAAGCCCTTTTGGAGACCTGGCGCCCTGTCCCCCAAGGGGCTGACGAGTGGTCATCTTCCCCATCACAGGTTCAATTCCAGTTTGTCCTCCTCACGGACACACTCTACTCCCCTCTGCCACCTGACCTGCTGCCCCCAGAGGCCGCCAAAGACCGAGAGACGAGGCCCTTCCCCCGCACCATCGTGGCCGTGGAGGTCCAGGACCAGAAGAACGGGGCCACTCACTACTGGACGCTGGAGAAGCTCAGGTGTGGCTGGAGGGCCGCTGGGCGGATGGTGGGTGAGTCCTCCTGGGCAGGACTGAGGCCACAGGAGCGGTGGTGGGCACAGGCTTCACGGCGGGTACCTGCAGACACCGCTGTTATGTTAAAATTAGAAGACCAACCTGAATAGTCTAGCCTTGTAGAATTCACATTCTCTCTGCCAACGCAGTGGTCGTACATAGAAATGGATTTGGGTGTTTTCTTTAGGAGAGAAGGACATGAGGCTAATGCTCCTCAGGCCCACAGGGCTCAGGACGGTGCTGTGGAGGGTGGGCAGGCCATGGTGCCAACAGAACAGGCTGGTGGGGTGCCCGGAGTGAGCACAGCAGGGCCTGGAGGGCGGCTCCCCAGAGGGGCTCGGAGAGGTGCTGGGGCGGAAGCAATGTCCCCTTGCTCCTCCGGGAGGTGGGTCCCTCAGCTGAGCCAGCAGAAGGTGGAGGAGGAGCTGAGGTGGGCGTGGAGCTCACTCTGATTTGTCCTGATCTTTAATTTGATTTTAAGAGATGGGACCGGCCGGGCGCGGTGGCTCCAGCCTGTCATCCCAGCACTTTGGGAGGCCGAGGCAGGTGGATCACGAGGTCAAGAGATCCAGACCATCCTGGTCAACATGGTGAAACCCCATGTATTTTAGTCTCTACTAAAAATACAAAAAAAAAAAAATAGCTGGGCATGGTGGCGCGTGCCTGTAATCCCAGCTACTCAGGAGGCTGAGGCAGGAGAATTGCCTGAACCCGGGAGGCGGAGGTTGCGGTGAGCCGAGATGGCGCCATTGCACTCCAGCCTGGGTAACAAGAGCTAAACTCCATCTCAAAAAAAAAAAAAAGAAAGAGATGGGACCTTGCCTTGTTGCTCAGGCTGGAGTGCAGAGGTGTGAGCACGGCTCACTGCAGCTGGAACTCCTGGCCTCAGCTGATCCTCCCACCTCAGCCTCCCAGGTAGCTGGGACCCCAGGCACAGAGTGCACCACCACACCCAGCTGATTTTTTAATTTTCATTTTTGGTAGAGACGAGGTCTCGCTCTGTTGCGCAGGCTGACCTCTAACTCCTGCCTTCAACCAATCCTTCCACCTTGGCCTCCCAAAGTACTGGCATTATAGTGGGAGCCACTGTGTCCAGCTGGCCTTAACTTATGGGGGTGACTGAGTCACCATGTGAGGTCAGCGCCATGAGTGGAGGATGTCACTCACAGGCCCCTGGAAAGCAGAGCATAGACGCCCCGCAGGGCCGAGCCCACTGCCCCCAGGAGCTAAGGGTGTGCAATGCCAGCTGCTGGGCGCTGGGCCTGGGTATACACTGGCCCCTGGCGTCCCTGCAGGCAGCGCCTGGAACTGATGCGGGAGATGTATGACCGCGCTGCCGAGGTGCCCTCCAGCGTCATCGAGGACTGTGACAACGTGGTGACCGGCGGAGACCCCTTCTACGACCGCTTCCCCTGGTTCCGGCTGGTGGGCAGGTGGGCGCCTCCTCTGTTCCCTGCCAGAGAGAGAGAGAGAGAGAGACTGAGAGAGAGCAAGGTGGCAGTGGGGGTAGGAGTGGGCTGTGCCCTGATACCAGGCAAGGCCCCAACAGGTGCTTTTCCATCCCAGACCCTGGCCCTGTCCTCCCTGGTCTGAGATTCCTCAGCCATTCCTCTCCACACCCCACAGGGCCTGTTATTTCAGGGGACGCGAGATGGGGTTTTGGCGCTGCCACCCAAAACCCCTGCAGGGCTGTGGCCGCCAGGACCCACAGGTCCATGTGTGTGAATATGTGAGGCTTTCCAGGTCACGCTGTGGCCTGAGGATGGGAACGTGAAGGCAGGGTTGTGTCACCCGAGCCTCAGAGATGGCTGCCTCCTTCCCCAGGCTCCCAGTCTGGGGTCTGTGCCCAGCCCCCTGCGCCCCCTGGCACTGTGGTATTCAGAGGCCTCAATGTGGCCAAACGCTTGAGGTCTTTCTGTGGCCTCAGCCACTCCAGGCCAAGACCCCTGTTCTCAGTCCCACCAGCAGGTGCCCTCCGGAACCTTCCGGAACCTTCCTGCTGGCCTACACGTGACTGCTTTCCAAGCTTGGGGGCACATTTTTGGTCATCTTGTCTTTTGTGGCAGCATTCTCGATGGTCCGCGTGTTTGGTTTTGGTTTTAAACAGAAGCCCCCCAGCCCTGGCCCCGGCCCCCGGCCCTCCCTGCGAGTCGCTGGTGTTAACTTCTCTCTGTCTTGTCGCACTAACCCCAGTTCAGCCATCTCTGGCTGCAACAGCTACCCTCTTCTCAACACATGCATGAGCGAGCGCATGGCTGCTCTCACCCCCTCCCCCACCTTCTCGAGCCCCGACTCCGACGCCACCGAGCCTGCCGAGGAGCAGAGCGTGGGGGAGGAGGAGGAGGAGGAGGAGGAGGAGGAGGAGGAGGAGGACCTGGAGGACGACGTCTTTCCGGAGCACGCGCTGTGCGACGGCCGGGACCCGTTTTACGACCGGCCCCCTCTGTTCAGTTTAGTAGGAAGGTTGGTGAGGTCGAGCAGAGCATGCTGGGGAGGGCCCAGCTCTTTTGCACAGGAGCACTGCTGCGGGCACAGGTGGGCCGCCGGTGCCTGGCCCGGGCCCTCCCAGGGCAGGCGAGGCAGGCAAGGCAGGCAGAGGGGCTGGCCTCCTGAGGAGAGCACCCAAGGCCCCTCACAGGGGGGCTGCTCGCCCATCCTGGAGATGGTGGCTCTGGGCCAGTGGGGAAGAGGCCGGGTTCCAGGTACAGAAGAGGCACCCCAGAGCTGGCAGCTGTGGCCCCAGGCAGGCGGGATGATTTCTGCAGAGAGGCCGCAGGAACCCCGGGGTGGCTCAGGCACCCGATGCCCAAGTTCCTCCCTGAGAGTCCCAGTGCATGGCCCGAGGGGCATTTGATAGGTGAGGGCCAGCCACCCCCAAGCTGGATGCCCGTCCCATCATTCCCCTGGGAATCGACTGCGTCCTAGTGGAGGCAGCCTTGCCACAGCTCAGCTGTCGTCCAGAGCAGGCAGAGGCTCCTGGCGGCTCTCACTGCCCTCCACTCTCTGTGGGGAAAGGAGCCGGACTCAGGCAGCCATCATGAGACCAGGGAAGGCCTTCCTTTTATGAGTGGGAGGCAGCTGCCTACCCTTCTATCTCCCTCTGAAGTGGCGGGGCCTGGGCAGACCATGCCTGTCTAAAGGTGAGGACGGCTCCATCCCTCCTGACCTCCCAGGTCCTCATGGCCAGGGATGGGGGCATGTGGCCCAGTGCCCTCACGGAATGTGCCCTTTGTAGAGAAAAGTTGGTTATCACGTTTCCCGAATGGACGTGAGGCCCCGGTTGGGAGACGGAATGGAGGCTGAGGAAGTGCAGTCCTGGGGAGCAGGGGCCCCGCCCTGCTGGCAGATTTGGCAAATTCAACTGCCTTCATGTTACCGTGGAAGGAAAGTCAGGTGAAGGAAAGATCTAGAAACCTGGCTGTAGGAATCAGAAAGTCAGCTCAGGAAACAGCTGAGTTGACATGTTTTACACATATGAATGCCAGGAGATAATTATGAATAGCAGCTGTGTTTGAAGATTGAGATTGCTTCCCTGGGTTAGGCCAGTGGAAGTTTCCAGAAGTCTTGAGCTTGGAGCAGCAATGCTGGCAGCAGAAGGCTAAGGGTGGCTGCAGATCACAGGGCTGACACTGGCTCTCCTCTGTCCTTGGGTGGAGATGGTGGAAGGAAAGCCTCGCTCTCCCTCTTGGCAGCAGGTCCCCATGGGCGCGTGCCATGGCTTTATCCTGATTAGTTTTCCATGAGTTACTAGACTGTGAGGTGAGATAAGCTGTCCCATCAGACACAGACCTGCGGCAGTCTCCCTCAGAGATGCTCTGGGCCTGTACTTCCTATTCTCCAGGCCCAAGAGGGCCCCGAGGCCAGTTCCACGCAGGCCTCTCTCAGAAAGCCCGGCTGTAGGGCCAGGCCCCCTGCACCTGCTGGGCCCCAGGAGTGGCTTCGGGTGTCAGGTAGGTGAGGGATCAGGATGCACAGGAGGACGAGGACAACAGGACAGGTGGGGTGGGGCGCTCGCAGTCTCAGCCAGAAAGAGCTGGGTCCTTCCAACATATTTTTCCCCTTTTGTGGATTTGAGATTTTACAAAACTACCAAACCAAACCAAAGTCATCAGAGAGAGACCTGGCCCCGGATTTCGGGGTGGCCGTGAAGAGCTTCATTTGGAATCATCTTGATCTTTTTGGTTTGGCAAGAATTGGCTTCTCCTACGCAGCAGCTATGCAGTCCGGCCCTGGGGAGGCCCCTGGTTGATTTCCCTTTAACCTTCCGGTAGCTGCTGGCTCTCTCTCCAAAGCTTCAGCGAAATTGGGGCACCTACTCTTGTCCCCTCTGGAAAGGCTTCCCTGGGTCCCAGCATGCATCTTTGCACCTCACCAATCTGTGGTTAGCGCCTGCCTCCTCCCTCCCTCCCGCCACACTCAGCCCTCGCTCTGTCTGCCTCTGCTGGCGCCTCTCTCTTGGGCTGGGTTTCAGTCTGCTTCAAGGTACCCTGGCCTCTGCGGAAGGCCCGTTCAGCACTGGCCTCCTGTGTCCTGCACAGGGGCTCCAAGGCCAGGGTCAGCCCCCAGGGGCCTCTGCCTCTGGTGGTCTGGGCACCAGGTGATGTGGGAGGCGGGTGGGTGGGTGAGCACTACCCAGGGTGGGGGAGTGGGCCTGGGCTCTGATTTCCCCTGGAATAGGAGGGCCAGTGGACTTGGGAAGGGTGGGTAGGCACAGGAGCTGCAGAGAGAGCAGGGCGAGAGGCTGACTGCCTGCGATGAGGGTCCCTGGGAGGGGAGCGGGGCTGGGGCGGGAGTGTAGGTGTCCAGGGCTCAAGGGCTTTGCTCAGGGTCAGCTCTGTGCCCCTGGGCTGGCAAGGCCACGCCACTCCCTTGGATCCCAGGTGGTGCCCTCGGTGGGCCGGGGCCCCTCTGCAGCATGGCCACAGATGGTGTTTCTCGGCCTGAGACCCTGAGAGCCATTCTCTGTGTGTGGGTGTGTCTGCAGCTGGTAGGGACAGGCCTGGGCTAAGTTCTGGCCCCTAGCTGAGATCAGATTATCTCTGGCACCTGAAGGGCAGGTGAGGGTCATGGTCTGCTCTGGCCTGTGAGGCCTGCGGTCCTGGAGGGTGTCCCCACTGGGCAGAGACCCCCGGCTCCAGGACACCAGGCACCGGCGCTCTGCCCCATCCCTTCGCACCCTGGGTGCATTGGTTGGTGTGGGCTCTTCACCAGGTGGGGGCGCGTCTTCCAGGCCTACCTCACAGTGCTCTTCAGGCTGCTGCTGCCACTGGGGCAGTGGATTCAGGGCCCAGCAGTCCTTTCTGGCTGAACAAGTCCATCACCAAGCCAGGCAGACGGGGACCGGCAGTGGGGAGAGGAGACCACCCAGCACTGGAACCCCAGCCAGGCCCACGTGCTCCCACGGGTGGCCTTGGGTCCCGGGTCAGTGCCATGAGGATGCTCACAGGGCGTGGTGAGATGGGGCAGCATTGGTCCCGGACCTGGGGTCCTTTCCATTGTATAACCTCTGCCTGGATGTCCCCTGGGGCCCCACCCGAGCAGTCCCCGCCTTTGGGGCACAGTTTGGGTTGCACCTTGAGAGCAGTCAGAGGCAGTCTGTGAATGCTGCAGCGTCTGGGACCCCCCCCAGTCCCCAGCCTGAGGACATTCTGAAAAAGCGTGAAACAATCCCTCTGCTTAATTAATCAGCTGTGATAACTAGGCAGGCACCCAGGTTAAGTGCCCACCCAGAGTGGAGGCCTACCCCAGCCCTAGAGGGAGGCCGTGGAGCTTGGTGTCCATGCAGCGGAGCTGGAGAGGAGTCCCACGCAGGCCTCACTGCCAGGCCCTGGCGACTTCCTTCATCTCTGTGCCTCAGGGTCCTCATCTGTGCGATGGGGTGTAAGTGTCACATTTCATCATTTAACGTGCGAGGTCCCGGGTGGATTTTGCGCAACCCCAAGGAAGAAAGGTGCAGCTGGTCAAGTCGGGATGTGCCCTGGCAGGGAGATGGGAGCTCTGCCTCCCAGGAGCTAGAAGAGCAGAAGGCCCGTGTGCTTGCCACAGAAGCCAGTGGCTGTGATTCCTGCCATGTTGCTTCTCAGTGGGGTGATCCAAGCCTGGGGCTACGAGGGGCCTGGGTCTCCTCCTCGAGCCCAGCCCCCGTCCGATTTGTGGGGCACTCAAGTGTGTGCTGTGCCGCTGGTGCCTGAGCCCATGGTTGGCAGCCTGGCAGAAGGCGTCCCCTCAGGAAGCCCACAGCCAGTTCCACGTAGCGTTTGTTCAGCAGGGAGGCCTTGTGGGTGGAGAGAGCCCGGATGAGGCCTGCCTGCTGCAGCCTCACGTGTGACCTGTGCCTCAGTTTACCTCTGTGCACTGCCTCAGACCCTCTTGGACTTGGCCTTTCAGGGGCAGTGGGGGAGAGTCAGGAGGGGGTCAGTGTGAGACCCTGAGAGCTCAGCACGAGTATGGGGTGGCCACTTCCCTGACTCAGATACAGGAGTCTCCTCCCTCTGGGTGTGGTCCTGGGGAGCTCAGAAGTTTGTGGATCGCCTTTGTGGTGCCGTGAGTGGCACATGTGGGTGGCCCCAGAGCCTGGGGCTCTGCTGACTGCCAGCAGCCCCTGTGGAATTGCCCTGAGCTTCTGGGAAGACAGCTCTGGCAAGGGGTCTTTGGGGTAGGAAAGATAGTGTCTGGCTCTGCTGGGTGGCCTGGGACAGCTATAGCCTCTCCTTCCTGGGAGGCTGTGCCAATGGATTCAGAGACCCTGTGCCTGGCAGTGTCCTCACCTGGCCCACAGTGAGAAGGGTCCCGCCCCCTCTCTGAGCACCACCCATGGGCTCCCTGCAGACGGCGTAGGGGTGGGCAGCCTCTTCATCCTCGGTGCCCTTCTGCCCTCCAACCCCAGGCTGTTTGCAGTGGGCACTGTACCCGGAAAAGGGCGGGGTGAGTTGGGGCTGAAAGGCAGGGCTGGTGCAGAGGCTGGCAGCATGGGCTGTCCTGCCTGCACTCCTTGTGTCTCCCCCAGCGTGGGGCACCCGCCACCCAGAAGGGCCTGTGCTGTGGTGGCCTGAGTCCTGGCTCTCCCCACCTGCTCACGGACATCTTACTTGGCTCAGATTGTAGCAGCCCCTCGCCGTACCCCCACTGTCAGGCAGAGACTGTCTTCCAGGAGCCAGGGTGCCCTGGGAGGGGAGGCATTGCTGTCCTTGGGGATGCTGGTGAGTCCCCCACTGTGGGGCTCCCAGCAGGACTGTGGGGAGTGGCCCCGCCCTTTGGGGTGTTCTCTCGGGATGAGGGCCAGGGTGAGCATCCATGGTGCTTCTGGACACAACCTGGGTGGGTAGCCCGGGCAGTGGAGCCCCAGCCCCCACACCGAAGTCAGGCAGAGCGGCCCTCAGCCCTGTGCCAACAGGTCCTTGACTGGCTTCGGGGTGTGGGGCCCTCACTTCTCGGGGGGTGTCTTTAGAGGGGGCGCTGTGCTGGGGAGAGGGCCCAAGCAGCCACCAAGGGGCTTCCTCTACCCCAGAAGGGATGCCTAAGGAGAATTTCAGGCCCTGGAGGGCAGCAAGACCCTTTTCCTGCTGTGAGCCCTGCCTGGGCCGTTTTGCGGTAAGGGCAATGGTGAGGGCTCAGCTCAGCAGGGCCACTTGGAAAGCAAGGGAGTTTTCATGGGCCCTTGGAAAGCAAGGGAGGTTTCAGAAAGAACAAGGTGGCCAAGGGGAAGGTCCTGACTCGCTGGGACGCCTGGGCCTCCGAGGAGACTTGAGGCAGCAGATGAGATCAAGGGTAGGGCCTCCCCTTTGGGAGCAGAGGTGCCCAGGGCATCCACGGACCCAGGAGCTGCAAGGCTGGGTTGAGGCTGAGCTTGACCGTGAGGGGGAGGCAGGACCTGGACCCCCAGGGTCATGTGGGGCATGGACACCCGTGTACGGAGCCTGGGTGTCACCAAGGGCATGGGGGACGTGTTTGATCAGTGCCCTGAGACCTTTCTGGCTGCTGTGGGGGCCGGGCAGGGCGGGGCTGGTGGTGATGGGACAGTTGAGGTGGAACTGATGGATTTGACGAAGAGGAGGGGCCACAGTAGTGCTGGCTTCTGACTTGCTGCTTCAGGGAGGTCAGGTGGGATGGGGGTTGGCGAAGCAGGGTCAGGAACCCACCTGAGAGGGGGCTGGGCATTCACAACCCCCTGAGTCTCACTCCACCCCTCATCAGTATCTGCTCTGGAATCAAGGCCCCAGGCTCAGCCCTTTCCCATGCTTGAGGTCACTGCCTGGAGCAGGAAGTAGGGTCTTTCCAGGCGCTCCCCTGCGGCAAGACCAAGGGCCCAGCCTGGGTGGAGTCAGAGCCCCGGGTGAGCCAAGTAGAGCAGGTGACCCACCTCTCCTCCCCACTCCTCCACCCACAGCCCCACCCTGGTGCCAGTGCCCACCTGGCCAGCAGGCCTCCACCTTCTGCGCCCCCTGCCCCCACCTATGGCTGCTCTCCCTGATCCCCTCATTGCCCTGACTCCCTGGCGAAGACTTCAGGCCACCCTGCTGCTTCCCCGTTATTGACCCTCCACCCGCTCATTCTGTCTCCAGGCCCCTCACCTTCCACCTTCTGCACCTCCTTCACACACCTCCCACCCTCCTGTGTCAAGTCCTGCCCGTCCCCACGGGGCTGTGCTCCTACCCACTCTGTGCTCAGGTCCGTGGGTGCTGTGTTTATGGGGGCTCCACCGCCTGGACTGGGCCGGAGGGTCACGGAGGCAGTTTCCTGGTCTGAAGTTTGAGCTGAGCCGTGGGCCTCCCCTCCCACAGCAGGACTTACCCAGGTGTCCTTCTCATGCCAGGCTTCCTTCCCCTGAAGGAAAGTGCCCCAATCTCAGCATGTACTCCTGGGCTGCTGGGAAGGGGTGTGCAGTCTTCACAGGGTCGTCTCTGGCCTTCCAGCTGCCCACACATGGGTCAGCACAGGGAAGGCAGCAGCTACCCGTCGACCGTAGGGGCTTGTGGTCTCTGCCTAGGCTGGTCCTGGGAAAGGGGGGCTCTTGGTGCTCTGGACCCCGCCATGGCCCTGGGGGTGTCCTCAGGGCTCCATTCAGTGCCTCCCTGGGCCCTGGGCTGGGGGTGCCCCGTCTTGGCCAACTCACCTCAGAGCTCCCACCTGCTGAGTTTCTGTTCGGGGAAGTGGCTCTGTGGGGTCTGTGAGCATCAGGGACCTTTGGGAAGTAGGCAGGAGGCAGGGTGATGCTGGCCATCAGTGCCAGTGTGAGAAGGGGGCAGCGCAGCGTGGTCTGGGTCCTGGTCCAGTCCCCGTCCTCCTTGAAGCAGGCTGAAACCTCCCTCCTCCGCTGCTCGCTTCTCAGGCAGCTGGGTCCGGGCCCAGCTGGGCTGCGCCTCTGCTCGCCGCAGCTCATTCCTCATCCTCCTCTCTGTCCCCCACCTCCTGTCTCCTCCGGTGCCCACCCTGCCTGCCCGTCCGCTCTCGCTGTCCTGGTCCTGGCTGTCCCGTCCGGTGGCTTCCCTCTGCTTTGCAGCTCCGTGTTGTGTCGTGAGCCGGGCCGTGCTGCCGCCACTGCCGCTCAGAACTCACTTGAAGGGGTGACCGGTGACTTGGCCTCTGCTTCCCCGCAGGGCCTTCGTGTACCTGAGCAACCTGCTGTACCCCGTGCCCCTGGTGCACCGCGTGGCTATCGTCAGTGAGAAGGGCGAGGTGAAGGGCTTCCTCCGTGTGGCCGTCCAGGCCATCTCAGGTGCGTGCCGGCCAAAGACGTGGGCGGCGGTGGAGCTGCAGGGGCTGGCTCCCACCTGCATAGGCAGAGGTGGGGACCCAAGAAGGGCCTTCTGGCATCGGGTGGCCTCACTCAGCCCTCCACTCTCCCTGGGGTCAACCTGAAGCTGTTTTTCCACTCTGTCCTGGGCTGGTGCCCTGGGCTGTGGGCCCCCAGTTGGCCCTGGAGTGGCTACCCAGCTCTTGGCTCTGGCCTTCTGGCCTCCCCGGAGATAGCTGGGGGGACCTCAGGGGCCATGCTGAGCCCAGCCCCTTCTGAGCCTGCGCTGGTTGGGGGTCCCTGCCTTCCCATCAGGCCACCTGGATCCTTCCCCAGCCTGCTGCAGAGCAGGTGCTCTCTCTCAACCCAACCCACCCACCTGACTGTCTCTGCAGCCCCAGGAAAGGCCTGTGAGTGCCTAGCCCCAGCCCCCGGCCCTGCCCAGGGCAGCCCTCCCTGGGGTGCTCCTGCTTCCCTATGCCCTCCCTGTTCTTAGGCACAGGCCCATCTCCCTCCACCCTGGGCCTGAAGCTGCAATCCCCTCCCTTGTGGGAGGCGGAGACTGGCACTGCTGGCACCGGTCCCAGTGGCCGGAGGCACCAGGCCAGCCCCAGAGCGCCTGTGAGCCTTGGTTTGCTCAGATGTAAACGGGTCCATTTTAATGCTCCCCACCTGATAGAAATGTTGAAGGGGAGTCAGGAACGCAGATGTGAAAGAGCTTGGCCGCCTGGGAAGCTACAGGCCAATAGATGGCTAGTGCTGTGAGGTCGGGTTCCCCTTTTTTCCCTGAACCCCCCAGCCCTGCCCGGGCTTCTTCACTCCCTTCCCTGCACCCTCCCATGACCCGGGCTCCTCTACCATGGTCTCCTTTCACCAGGGACCACTCTTCTTTCTCTCAAAGGCCTTGGCTGCCTGGGCACCCTGGCAAGACAATAGTACAGATATGGGCAGGTGGAGGCAGAGAGGACGGGCACTGATGCCGCAGGGCTCCTGGCTGCCCAGAGGAGCTGGCAAAGACGGCCATACCCCTCTCCAGATGTCGAGTCCCCCAACTCTGAGATGGCTCATCTTCCCCACCCTGAGATATCTCACAGCTCCTGAAAGATGCAGGATGTCTGGTCACATTGCCCTGCCATCCTGGCTGCCTTGGGAAATTTTAATCTCACCTAATTAATTAGACTCTATTAATAGTTAAATTCTCTTTAGCCCATAGTTTCTTTTATGAGACAAAGTCTTGCTCTGTCACCCAGGCTGGAGTGCAGTGGCATGATCTGGGCTCACTGCAGTCTCCGCCTCCCAGGTTCTTCAAGTGATTCTCCTGCCTCAGCTTCCTGAGTAGAGTAGCTGGGACTACAGGTGCGCGCCACCACGCCTGGCTCATTTTTGTATTTTTGGTAGAGATGGGATTTCATCATGTTGGCCAGGCTGCTCTTGAACTCCTGACCTCAAGTGATCTGCCCACCTTGGCTTCCCAAAGCACTGGGATAACAGGCCTGAACCGTCGCGGCTGGCCAGCCACCATGCCCAGCCCAGCCTCTGATTCCTAAATGCTGTTTGCAGCACCTCCCAGTAGCCATGTCATTGCTGGTCATCCAGACCCTGATACTGCAGTGCTGAAAGTCAGGGGCCCAGCTGGGGAGAGAGGGTGAGCACCAGGGAAGGGCCCCAGCCCCGAGGCCAGAAGGTGGGGCGTGTACTGGATGGAGTTGCAATGCTCAGGGAAGCTGGGAACACCTAGCACCTCCCCTTCACCCCAGGAGGTGCCACCTTGCCAGGTCATCCTGATCTTGCCTGTGTCCGCAGCTCATACCGAGGGGTCCTCCAGGGCTGAGCCGAGCCATCCTAACCCCTTCCTTCCACGGGCCCCCACCCCGACAGCCACCTCCCAGTGGGGCTGCACCAGAGGCTGTGGGGCTGGCTTGCGTCCTTGTGAGGGCAACTGCTGTCCTGGTCTGCCTTTGGTCAGAAGGGGCCTCTGGGGTCCACAGGGAGGTTGCCCATTTCCCAGGCCCTGAGTTCAAGCTCAGTTCAAAGGTCTCCCTCTGTCCTGCACCCTATGGGATTGAGAGGTGCCCCCACTGCTCAGATGACGGTCGCCAGCTAGGAAGGCACACAGCAGCTCTGAGCCCAGGTCTGTGTGCCCGGGTCCACAGCTCCTGCTGCCCCAGGTCATGTGCCGGGAAGCCAGGCTGGGACGGTGTCTTGGAAGTGCTGCTCTCCTGGGCTGGGTTGCCGGCCTCCTGCAGGCCATCCCACAGCTGAATGTTTTCTGTTGGGTGACACGTAATGCGTTTCCCTGTCTGGTGGCGGAGAAGGGAGCTTAGCAAAGGCACTGGTCCTGGCGTTGGTGGTCTCAGAAGTCTCACCAGCCCTGCCTGTGACCGGGGCAAGGTCAGCTTGCTGTTCCCTCAGCACAGACTCCTCCACGAGCAGGTGCCGCCTTGCACAGACCACGGCAGGACAGAGCCCAGGGCTTCAGGCAGTGGGCAGGGTCCACGGGGAGCTTTGAAGGCTGGGGAGTGTGGGTGCACACAGTGGGCAGGCCTGGGGAGTGGCTGGCGGCCCTAGAATGTCGAGGCAGGTGACAGGTGGTCGCTCTGCACGGATGATGGCAGAAGCACGTGATGATGCTGGAGGTGGGACCCGCAGTGCTGGCAGAGTGGTCTCTGCACATCGAGATGGGGAGGGGCTGCTTAGGTTCTCCTTGAGCACCTGGGAATGGGGCAAGATTTGGTTTTGAAAATGACTTCATGACCCCTGTCAAAGTGGGCTGTGACAAGGCCGTGGCCACTCTGGGGCCCCTGGGCTGGACAGGCTGATGGTCAGTGTCCAGGGATGTACCTGGTTGTCACTGAGGCCCGGGCAGCAGCTTTGCTCAGGACCCTGCTGCCTGCTCTGGCTCCTGCACCCTCACCTTGACTGTGGGGTGGCTCGGCCTGGCTCTGCCCACACCCGCCTTAGGGGACAAGCTGGGCTCCAGCCATCTGCTCCATTCCTCCTGCAGCGGATGAAGAGGCCCCTGACTACGGCTCCGGCGTCCGCCAGTCGGGAACTGCTAAAATTTCTTTTGACGACCAGCATTTTGAAAAGGTATCAAGCTCCCTCCCAAGTCCCAGGCCTGGAGGGACCTGGTGCTCACTGGAGTCCCATGCTCTTTGCTCCTCTGCCACCCTGTCCCATCCCATGGGCCCTGAGTCCTCTTGGGGTTCTTGCCTTTCGTCCAGAGTGCTGAGCCTGCCCCATCTCTCAATGTTTAAAGCACACCATGCCCCTTTCCCTGGGTTTGCCCTGACTCCTGGATGTGCCCATCCCCCACCACAGCCTCTCTAGCGTCCAAGCTGGGGCACAGAGCAGGTAGACAGCATGAGCCTCCAGAACAGACTCTGAGGTGCAGCCACCCGTATCCTGTCTCCCTTCTCTGGGCCTGCTCTCCTCTGGGTCCCCACAGTAGCACGTTCCCACTGCCCACTTTGTTCCCTGCAGTGAGAGTAAGGGGCCCCTTGGGCTGCCCACCTTCGGTCCTCATGTGAAGGGCTGGTGCTGTGTCCAGTGGTACCTGGACCACTCAGGCTCCTTTTCTGCTCTTAGAGAGAGGGTGGTGGAGGAAGGTCCGAAAAGCGCACCCCAGCCCACGCTCAGGCAGCTCCTCCTGCCCCCACTTTCTTACACTAATTTCTCACCTGCACCCACCTGGCCCATACCATTACCCAGAACCCTACTCCCTGAGCAAGGGTGGTCTGTCTGCCCAACACCTTTTCTCTTGGAGGGGCTGCCAGTGTTGGGGGTGCCCAAAAGGGGGAGGGGAGAGAGCTTACCTGCTGGGCAAGGGGACCTGGCAGGGGGGGGTCCAGCTGAACTGAAGACCAGATCTAAGAGATGGGTAGCGAGTTGTTTCCAGGACAGCTCAGACCTCACATAGGCTGTAGAATCCAAAGACACACAGCCACAGCAGGCCTGGGGAGGTGGGTCCCCCACAAGGCAGGGGCAGATCTGCGGCGTAGGTCCTTGGAGGCTCTAGCCCAGGCTCTGGGCGGCACAGCCCTCCCGTGGGCCTGTGACGGGTGTGCGGTGCCCCTCCCTCCGCTCCTGGCTCTCTCTGACTCTTGTCCCTCTGATCAGTTCCAGTCCGAGTCTTGCCCCGTGGTGGGGATGTCCCGCTCTGGAACCTCCCAGGAGGAGCTTCGCATTGTGGAGGGCCAGGGCCAGGGGGCAGACTCGGGGCCCTCAGCCGACGAAGTCAACAACAACACCTGTTCAGGTGGGTCACTCACCCCCGCTGCCCAGGGCGCAGGGCACGCTGAGACCTGGTTCCTGAGCCCAGCCCAGGCCTGTGGCCAGAAGAAAGTAGGATCTAGAAGTCCATGACTGTCTCCCTGACTCCCAGCAGCGGTGCCCCCAGAAGGCCTCCTCCTAGACAGCTCCGAGAAGACTGCCCTGGACGGGCCCCTGGATGCCGCCCTGGACCACCTCCGCCTGGGCAGCACCTTCACCTTCCGAGTGACCGTCCTGCAGGCGTCCAGCATCTCTGCCGAATATGCTGACATCTTCTGCCAGTTCAAGTGAGCCCCGCTGCCCTTGTGTCCCCATGCTGCATGGGACTCTGTGCCCAAGGCTCCCTGCCTGGGCGCTGAGCAGGGCAGGCTGTGTTGGTACCGCATCGGTCCAGCCCGAAGGCCCTGCACGCCCCAGCGCCCTCATGGGAGGTGGGTTCCACCTGGTGAGGTCTTGTCCTGGGTCCCCCACCTCACGCCAAAGCGTCTCCGCTGCTTTGCAGCTTCATCCACCGCCACGACGAGGCCTTCTCCACGGAGCCCCTGAAGAACACAGGCAGAGGCCCCCCACTTGGCTTCTACCACGTGCAGAACGTACGTTGCAGGCACTTCTCCCCATCCCTGCCGCTGACCAACTTCTCCCAGGGCGTCTCTGATCGTGGGTCATTCTTCCTCTTCTGAACCCCGGCTGTGGGCCAGGTTGCCCTGAGCACCAGGAATGCCAGTGCCAGGCGGGGTGTGGAGGCGATTTCTAGGCAGTGGGGGATCCTTGATGGGTTTACAACTAGGTGGTGAGGTAGCTCAGAGTCCCCGAGAACAGCCCATGGTGAGTGTAGGGCAGACGGGGAGCTGGCTGCAGGTATAGTGGGGCCTGGGTTTGTACCGAGGCCAGGGGTGGTCAGCAAGGACAGCCCTGGCATGGGGGTCGGGAATGGGACGGAAGCAGGGTCACAGGGGCTGTAGGGTGCCAGCAACGTCCCAGAGGCCCAAAAAACTCCAGGCAGGAGAGTGCTGGCAGCAGGCAGCTGGAAGGATAGAGAGGAGGTGGAGCCGCTCCTCCTCCAGGTGGAGAGCCGGCCTCCTGGGGCAGGAGGGAAAGAGTTGCTTGACGGTGATAAGGAAAGCTCCCAGGGAGCCAGGCCTTGCGTGCCAGGCCACGGGCATTGATGGGGAAGGGCTGATGTCCTGGAGACTCCATGGTTAGCCAGCTGGGACTTCTGCCACAAAGTGCCACAGAGGGGGCATCTATAGCAACAGAACTGTGGCCTCCCGCTCTGGAGGCTGGAAGCCCCAGATCAGGGAGTGGGCAGGGGCACCTCCTTCTTAGGCATCTATCCTTGGCTTGTAGAGCAGCTGCCTCTTCCTGGCTTCTGTCCACGTGGCCTTCCCCCTCTGCATGTGCGTGGGCCCAGACCTCCCCTTTTCATAGGGACAGCAGCTGTGCTGGAGTGGGACCTGCCCTGAGGGCCTCTCTTTAACTCCGTCATCTCTGTAAAGGTCGTGTCTCAGGATACACTCTCATTCTGAGGTCCTGGGTTAGGACTTCAACGTATGAATTTGATGAGGGGGACACGGTCCAACCCGTAACTCCTGCTGAGTGGGCCAAGGCCCAAGAAGGGGCATCCTGCAGAGGCCAGTGCTGCCCTTTGTCCCCTTCCCCAGCTCTGTGTTCTGAACAAGCAGCTGACCATGTGGCCCCGTTCGTCCTGGGGAGAGAGGCCAAGGGACGGACTCCTCAGTCCTGCCTGGGGCACATGGTGGGAGGAGGGGCTGGGCCAAAGGGCCTGCTGCCTGTTGTGGGCAGAGGGGCCCAGCTGGGGTCCCAGATCTGGGCCTGGAGCACCTGGCTGACTTATGTGACTCTCCTTGCCCCTTGAATGTGGCCTGGCCGTGCCCTCCCGTTCTCCCACCTGCCCACCAGATCGCAGTGGAGGTGACCAAGTCCTTCATTGAGTACATCAAAAGCCAGCCCATTGTGTTCGAGGTCTTCGGCCACCACCAGCAGCACCCGTTCCCGCCCCTCTGCAAGGACGTGCTCAGGTCAGCACCCTGGCTCGGGGGTTCAGGGCGGCTCTCCCAGCCCCTGCCCGGATCTTTTCATCCAACTGTCTTGAGGCTGCAGAACTCACGTGCCCCCTGAAGCCCACCTCCCCTGCCCATCCGGGAGGCCTTCTGCCCAAGGCTGGCAGGACTCAGCAGTGAAGAGCTCTGGGCCTCCCTACAGCTTCTCCCCTTCAGGACTAAGGAGGGTTCCTTGTGAGCATGGCTCGGGGAATCTTCACCTCCTGCTGGCCTGGGCAGTGTGCAGGGGCTGCCAGCTGGAGGATGCCAGAGAGACCACTTCTGCTGCCCACGGAGGATCCCAGGAAAGGGGCCCAGCTGACACCCCTGGGGGAAGCCCAGCCTAGCTCCCTCACTCCCGAGGCCTTTACATATGTGGGCTCAGACAGATTTGCAGGGCTATAGCATCTCACCCTAGACCCTGAAGGTGGGACAAGAGTGTCCACCCTGGGCCAGGCCAACCCCTCCCGGGCACCTCCAGTGCAGAGAGAACAGCATAGAGGCCTCGGGGGGCGTGTCTCTTCCCATCTCCATCTCCCCGCAGCTGTCAGGCAGGACTGATAGCTCAGGGGCCCTCCAGGGCATCAGGGAAAGAGACAGGCAGTGAGGGCTTTGTTTTGGGGGTGCTTTTCTATCCTTGGGAGTGGCTGGGGACTCTGGACTGGGAGCCAGACCTTGACCTTTGCCCTGGTTTCCTGTGGCCCCTGCAGTGGGATCTGGGGTCCTGAGGGTCCCTTCTCTTCCTCCTACCCAAACGGCCTTCGGGGAGACAAGGCAGGAGGGGGCAAGGATGGGCACCTGGGGCCCCTCTGTCTCCTGACCCTCCAGCCCAGCCTCCCACAGACGCCTCACGCCAGTGCTTCCTCCTCCACAGCCCCCTGAGGCCCTCACGCCGCCACTTCCCACGGGTCATGCCACTGTCCAAGCCAGGTAGGAAGGGTCTCTGGAGCCGCCCAAGGGCAGCAAGTGCCCTGCACTGTGGGTGCTGAAGTGGGCTGGGCTCCACAGTGGGTGCTGGGCACTCTGGGGCCACCCTGAGCCTGTTGGGCCTCACAGGGTCCCATGGAGCAAGGGTCTGTCCTGTGTCCATGGAGTAGCCCGGAGCTGGTGGCAGAGGCGTGGGGAGCAGAGGAAGGAAGGCAGCAAGAGGGTTGGGGGCTTTGAGGGGACTTCTGGCCTCTCCGCTGAACACAGGTGGAGATTTGGGGGTGAAAGGCAATCTAGGAAGCTCCTTCATGGGGGGCCGAGGCTGGAGGTGGGAGCAAGAGTGTGGGGTCAGTGGGGGAGGCGTATTTAGCAGAGCTTTTGCCTGGAACCTGGAGCCCCTGCCTGTGGGAACAGGTGTGTCATGGAATAGCACGTGACGTTCTTTGGGTTTTAGTTAAGTGTGGAGTTTATTTCCTGCAAGACCAAAACCAGGGTCATGGTTGGAGAGCTGGAGACAGCCAGACTGAGGCCCGGCAGGTGTGTGGCTTAGTCCCTCACTTCGCTGAAAGCCACCTGCCTGAGGGGCTGTGTTCCAGGCATCAGCACCCCAGAGGGTAGGGCCCGCATGAGAAGCTGTCTCTGCAGCTGGCAGGTGGCCGCGCCGGGTCTGCACACGTGGGGACCAGGTGTTGGCCTCTCATGCCTGCCTTTCGAGGACCCGTCCTCTGCACTATGTAAGATGAAGGTTTGCAAGCTGAGGACACCTCGGGAGGGCACCCCAGCTGTGGCAGGGCCTGTCCCTGGTATACACAGGCTTTCTGGCTGGCACATGGGCTCCCTGTGACTCAGTCTTCCCACAGCCTGAAAGAAAGACCTGTAGATCCATCTTTGTGGGAGAGGCAGAGGAGGCTCAGATGGCACTTGCTGGAGGAGGGCCTGTGTACTGGGTCTCAGAGGAGGCAGTGGTGGGCAGAGGCTGTTTGCCAGCAGCTGGACGTGAGCGGAGGGCCAGTAGGCGCTGAGGGGTGGGGCCTCTCGGGCCAGGCCTGGGTGCTGCTGAGAGGTGCTCGGACTGGTGCAGTAGGCTGTGGCCAAAGTGTGGTGCAGGTGACAGGCCTGGCTTCGTGGCAGAGGGGCTGTGAGGGTTGTGGGCTTTTGAACAAGGGGCTCTGCTGCCACCCCTCGGGTTCTTGGGGTCTTGATCCCTGTCCTCCCTATGAGCTGTGCCCAAGTGCGTGGCCATATGCCTCTGCTAGCCGGGGCACGGAAAACCTGAGCACCCAAGTGACGGGCTGAGGCCTGAGAGTGCACGGGACCGGGTGTAACTTGACCGTGGCCGGGGTTGGCTGGTTGTTTCTCTTGAGGAGGGGGAGGTGCCCTCGCTGCCTCTGAGCCCCTTGGCCCTGACACCTCCTCTGTGAGTGGGCCCTTGGCACATGATGGGTCGGGTCTGCCCTCCGCACACGCCTCCCTCCTGTCCCCGCAGTGCCTGCCACCAAGCTCAGCACGCTGACGCGGCCCTGCCCAGGGCCCTGCCGCTGCAAGTACGACCTGCTGGTCTACTTCGAGATCTGTGAGCTGGAGGCCAATGGCGAGTGAGTGCTGGTGCTGGGGCCCCCGGGTGTGGCCAGCGGCCAAGAGGGACAAGGCCCCGGGCCACCCAGAGTCGTTCTTCCAGTGGGTGTTCACTGCAGACCTCCTGTGGGCCCGGCCTCGTCTAGGGCCTGGGGAGTAAAGGCAAAGCTCCCCGCTGTCCTGGAGGAGCTGGTGTGGGGGCAGAGAGGGGCTAGACAGATGAGCACCTGGACTGGCCCCCACGGTTCGCAGCACAAGGACACAACACCAGGGGAGTGGCTCGGGGGGGCTGGGGTGGCAGACGTGCCACTCACGAAGTGATCAGGGGACTTCTGAGAAAAGACCTGAGGGAGGTGGGAGGGGAGCCCTGAGGCCTGGGGGAGGTGGGTTTCAGGGCCCCAGTGCAGAGGCCAGTGGGGGGCCTGCCTGGTGCCCTGGGGGCAGTGGGGAGCTGGGCTGAGGCTGGCGGCTCAGGGTGTGGCCTGGTGGAGACTCAGGTCTTTGCCCCGAGTGGGCCGGAGCCTGAGGTTGGAGCAGACTAGCCCGTCTGCTGGGATTTCCTCTGCATCCTGTGGCCTTGGGTTTCAGATCTGCAGGGCTGAGGAGAAGCAGAGGACCCTCGGGACTGGTACAAATCCAGCCCAGAGGGGCCAGGCTGTCCTACGGTGTCTCCTCGTTGGACACCCTGCCAGTGAAGTGAGCAGGGCCGCGAGGCGATGGCCAAGGAGGCCTGGTGGTTTCTGTGCTCAGCTGACCATGGTCTCCGTGGTCCAGGCCACCTGATCTGCTGATTTTTCCGTTTTTGCTCCATCCGCTGTGGGGCCAGGGTCCTGTGCTGCCAGGAGGGTGGGGAGGAGGGCTGACCGCCCCTCACGTGTGTCTCTCTTCCAGTTACATCCCAGCCGTGGTGGACCACCGTGGGGGCATGCCGTGCATGGGGACCTTCCTCCTTCACCAGGTGCGAGTCCCCACCCCGCCCCCCCGCCTATGTCCCCCTCCCACACTCCACGTGGACCTTCCTCCTCTACCAGGTGTGAGACCCTCCCTGCCCCTCCCCTGCCTGGGTTCCCCTTCCCCACCCCACGTGTCCCACCACCGCCCCAGCGGTCTGACTGTATCCTCTCCTGGCCCCGGCAGGGCATCCAGCGACGGATAACAGTGACACTACTGCATGAGACGGGCAGCCACATCCGCTGGAAGGAAGTGCGCGAGCTGGTTGTGGGTGAGTGCCGGGTGGGCGCTGCCTCGGGGGGTGGGGCCGAGCAGGTGGGAAGAGCACAGACCTCCAGCTAGGTGCCCAGGTGCTAACCACACCTCTGCCTCTGTTGCTACGTGACCCTGGCCAAGTCACATAACCTCCCTGTGGGTCAGTTCCTCACCTTCAAAGGAGAGCCTTGGACCTGGGTGACGAGGCACGAGCTTCTATTTGATCAGCGTGGGAGAGTTCTAGGGCTGCCCTGACCAAACACCACAAGCTGGGTAGCTGACACCGGCCGGTGTTTATCATCTCACAGTTCTGGAGGCCGCAAGTCCAGAATCAAAGCGTGGGCGAGAGGCGCGCGCTCTCTGAAAGCTGTCGGCGAAAATCTTCCCCTGCCTCTGCCAGCTCCTGGTGGTGGCTAGAGTTCTGGGCGCCCCTGGCCTGTAGACGCATCGCTGTGTTTTCACAGGCTTCTCCCTGCCTGCGTCTTCCCAAGCCCTTTCTCCTAAGGTCGTCAGGCAGGTGGGATGAGGGACCCATCCTGCGCCAGGTTGACTGCGTCTATAGTCAGCTTGATCACCTCTGCAAAGCCCGACTTCCAAATAAGGTCCCACTCGGAGGCACTGGCGGTTAGGACTTCCACATCCGTGCCTGGGTCGCAGTTCCACCCATCACCATCACCAGGGATCTTACTCTTTTTTTCCACGACCTCTTGTTTGGAACTCTTGGGTCTGCTAAGGTGTAGAGAATTTGTCTTCCCAGTTTCCATTCAAGTGTGCCGTTAGCATGAGGCCAGCCCAGCCCTCCCTCGCCCTGGACATTGCTATGGCCGGGCTGGGTGACTGCTGAAGGTGGCTTCTCGGGCTGGAGCCATCACCCTGTGTCCCGGTGCAGGGCTGCAGACAGGACATTCCAGGAACATGCTTGCGTCTTAAAGTGTTGTGTCTAATTGCACATGCATTGGAAAGCCACAGATCAGGCACCCAAACCCTCCCTTTGAGGCTGTTCAGGGCAAGCCTAAAAACAGGGAACCGACTGACAGGCAGAACGTAACAAATACACAGCTGGCTTACGGACCCGGCCACGTGGTCATTGAGGACCTGTCCCTGGGGCAGCTCCGCTCCCACTTGCCGAGTCCTGGTCTCTGTCCCCCAAGGCAGACAGGAGAGAAGGAGGGAGGGAAGCTGGATCTGCAGGGTTGGGGGGACACATCCTCCGGCCTGCTTACATCCCACCTTCTCCCCACCTTCTTTCTACAGAGGCAACAGAGTGTCTGTTTATATGGGGTGGGGGATCAGGGATGCTATTGAAAGGGATTTGGGGAGATGCAGCGTGAACCCCAACACCGCCCTTCAGGCTAAGGGGTTTGGGCTCAGCCTCGGGCTTCGTGACAGAGCAACCCTGTGACTGGACTCAGGGCACAGAGCAGCCGGGTCACTTTCTAAGGGGCACCTCCGTCTTTCCTGCTCCCCACCCGGGACCCACGCTCACAGTTCACAGCCTTCTCCTGGCTCAGCATCCGTCCCAAGAGGGCCCTGTGAGTTGGACAGAACTGTGGGCACAGGGTCAGCGAAACGGATGAGAGTTGAGGAGACACCCGGGTATCCATGAGCAGTGGCTGAGTGGGCCCTTTGAGGCAGGGGAGGAAGTGGAGGTGTGGACAGCAGAGGGCCAGGACCCCAGCCCCAGCCCTGGCACTCTGCCCAGACCAGCGGGCTCATGCGTGTCAGTTTTGTGGGCCAGGTCCTTGGCCAGACTCAGAGCAGGCTGAATGCTGCTGAAGCACAGGCCCCAAGGGCAGAGAGGGGCTCTGCCCTGGCAGCAATCCCTGCAGCCGAGATGCTTCCCCGACACGGGCCCTGCCCCACCGTGGACCCAGAGGGCCTGGCATGGGGAAGGGCACTTTGCTGGGATCCCACCTGCCTCCTCCTAGGACCTGTGTGCGAAGCCTACGGGTCGAGGTTCCAGCCCATGTGCGCTTGCCAGCACAGAACCCTCGTGGGTCCTGGGTTTTATCTGGTCCATGCGTGGCTGAGGAGAGGGAAGGCTGTCATTCCTTCCTGGCACATGTAGAGAAAATGTACATGTGCTTGTTTACTCCTTTGAAGGAGCAGAACTGTCACTGTCTGGCCACGAAATTAGGAGGTGAAGCTGCTGGGCAGTATTCCTGCCTCATAACGGCCCCAGTGTCTTTCAGAGACAGACACCCCCAGTGCATGCATCTTAGCAGGCTCTCCTGGACATGCCCCTTGTAAGAAGAGGTTTTATGGCACAGATAATGTTCTTTCTTCTCCCCTCCCATCCCTCCCCTCCTCTGCTCTCCTCCTCCCTCCCTCCCTCCCTCCCTTCCTTCCTCCTTTTCCTGGTGATTATCACCATTTTTAGGTATAAGAATAAGTGGGAACAGTCCCCCTCTGTGTCTCGCCTAGACTTCCTTTTCCAGCAGTCTGGAAGGCCTTGCTTTCCAGGCTCAGCACCTATGTCTCTCGGTGTCATTGTGTCCCAGAGACAGTCGAGAAACACCAGAGAGCTGTCACTGCAAATGGCTCCTGGGTCACTGAGGACCCTGCGGGGCCTCCCTGTCCCCACACCCGGTGCCACGTTTGACCGATGCCCTACTGACCGTGTGGGGACCTGGCTTGCTGACAGGACTCCCGCCTGAGGCAGCCAACAGGGCCTCCCAGGGCCCCACCTGCCCCCTGAGATGTGACCCGTGGCCCGTTGCCTTTTCTGCAGGCCGCATACGAAACACTCCGGAGACTGACGAGTCCCTGATTGACCCCAACATTCTGTCTCTCAACATCCTCTCTTCCGGATACATCCACCCGGCCCAAGATGACCGGTGAGTCTGAGACTCCCTGGACACAGGGCCCAGGGCATGCTCCCAGCCTGCCAGGCCCTCGGCCCACCCGGTGCAGGGTCCAGCCACACGACGTGGCCCACTCCAGTGCTCTCCTGGCCCTCCCTCCTGGCACCTGCTGGAGCTGCATGGTGAGGGGCTGGCGGCCTCTGCACCTCCCAGCTCTTTGTTTGTTCATGCCCATCACTGGTTCAGGCACCCACTGCATCGCTGGCTCAGGCATTCCCCCCATCGCTGGTTCAGGCATTCCCCCCCATCGTTGGTACAGGGATCCCCCCATCACTGGCTCAGGGATCCCCCCATCACTGGTTCAGGCATCCCCCCCATCACTGGCTCAGGGATCCCCCCCATCACTGGTTTAGGCACCCCCCCATTGCTGGCTCAGGCATCCCCCCCATTGCTGGCTCAGGGATCCCTCCCATCGCTGGCTCAGGGATTCCCCCCCATCGCTGGCTCAGGCATTCCCCCCATCATTGGTTCAGGGATCCCTCCCATCACTGGCTCAGGGATCCCCCCCATCACTGGTTCAGGCATCCCCCCCATCACTGGTTCAGGCACCCCCCCATTGCTGGCTCAGGGATCCCCAGGCCCCTTTGTTCGTCACCAAGTAGAGGGGCCAGTGCAGGTATTGGAGGATGAGCTGAATTCTGTTCTCGGGAGTTTCATGGTTGGGTGGTGTGGGGACAGGTGGCTGTATATCCAAGGACCAAGCTGCCAGGGGCAAGTCAGTGGCCTCTGGCAGGCATCCTGGGGCTAGGGGTTGAGCAGCCAGGGTGGGACGCCCACAGGCACTGCTTGGCACAGGCCCCTCATCACCAGGCTGCTCCTTTCCACACTCCTGGCATGGCCAAGCCCCACAGTCTGGGCAGTCCCAGCTTGACCACACCTGGGCTGGGGTGTTGGAGCCCTGGGGTGTCTGTGGCAGCCCCATCGGGGTCTGCTGAGGTTGGGGGATGGGAGAGGGAGGAGGCCCCTGAGGTTGGCCTGGGCAGGTGGCTCAGCACTGCTAGGGCAGCCCTACTGGGTGGGGAGATCGCTCGGGCTCCACTGTATCCCAGACACTGCCTTCCAGGGGCTTGGGGAAAGTGAGGCAGGGGCTCCAGTGTCCAGTCCCAGATGCTCCTGGGGGCTCCATGTGGCCCGTGATGCACAAGCCCAGAGCAGACCCTCGGAGCTGGAGCCAGGGGTGTCTCTATGGCCAGCTGGTGTCTGTGTCTGTAGGAAAATGTCTCAAGGGCTTCCCTGCAAGGAGGGTCAGGGTCATAAGGACAGAGGGTCCCGGGGTGGGTGGCACTGTCTCCTATTCTTTTGACTTGGGTCCAGACACAGCTCGGTTTCATCAGAAATATCCAGAAAGTGGGTTCTTGGGGAACCCCTGCATTAATGCAGACACTGCAGGGGCGGCCAGGGCAGGGGGCAGCTGGGTAGCCAGGGTGGGCACAGCGCTGAACAGCAGCGGGTGGGGGTGGGCAGACACCTGGACTTGGTGGATGCGGCTCTGGTCCCAGCCCTGCCTTCGGCTCTCCGGAGGGAGCCTGCCCTACACTCATGTCCTCAGGAGTGGGGAGGACTCAGGGTGTTCTATGTGGAGGTGGCGCCATGGTGGGGGTACACGTCCGGGATGGGGGAGGTGCAGCAGATGCTGGGCTGGGTCGGGGCTTGGGGGCTTCCTCGTGCCTTGCTTCTCCTGCGCCATGAGATTACTCCCTGGTGAGTCATGGAGAAGGCCTGGAGCCCCCAGCACGGGCATTGCCCGCTGGGTGTGGGCTGCTGTGCCTGGGCTGTGGGGGACCAGGACTTAGAGTGGGGGTTGGGGCCCAGGAGGGCTGGTCTGCCATGTGGGACTGGCTTTGGAGCCTGGGAGATTACCTCATTACCATATTTCCTGACCTCTGACCTTCCCTCAACCCAGGTAGCTCCTGCAGTGGGATGGGCAGGGGCTTCAGCCCCCAAACCCCCACTGTCTCCCTGCACAGAGGGCTGGGTTTCTGAAGATGAGCTGTCATGGGTGACACAGGAGGGAGTGGCTCATGGCTGGACCTCAGGCCACCCTGTTCCTGGAGGCCCGAGAGCCTGTCACTAAAGGGTCTTTGGCCCCACACCCTGAGGGCTGTGAGATGTGAGGCTGGTCCCGGGCCGGCTCTGGGGTTGAGGCCAGGGCCCGGATCTGAGAAAGGAGGGAGGTGTGTTGTCCGGGCGTGGCCTCCCCAAGCACTGTGGCCCTCTCTTGGCTCCTGCCCGTGCTGGCAGCAGCCCCCAGCCCTGCCCCGGAGCAGTGACGAGGACTGTCCTCTGTTGGCATCCCTAGGCAGACAGCGTCCTGTGGCTTGGCTGACCAGGCCCATGACCTTCCTGTGCCATGGATGGTGCTGGCGTCCTCAGACCCGGGCCGGGCCGGGCTGCTCCATGGCCTTTCTCCCCGACGTGCAGGCTCAGGAGCCCTGGCTTCTGGCTCCAGCCTGGGGCCTCGGCTGCCCCTGCGCTTTGCCACTGCCTTGCCTCCGCCCGCTCCCAGGCCCCGCGCTTTGCAGCCTGCCTGGCTCAGAGTGGGCCCTCGGCCGCCGGCCGCTCCCGTCTGCCTGCCCCGCCCCGCTCCCGCTGCCTGCCCGGCCTCACTAACCGTGTGATTGTTTGTGTTTTGCAGGCAGTTTCTTGATTCGGACATACCTAGGTATCATCTGTGTCCCTTGGTTTCATTTCAGCCACTTCTTTCCTTCCCTGCTCCTCCCTGACTGACCCCACACCCTGCCCCCCACAGCCCTGAGAATTTCACTTCCGGCTTCCTGGACTCCTCACACGCGCTCACCTGTCCTCCTGTCCCTTCCGTCTTCTTTCTTTTGATTCCCTTGGAATCTCGGTTTGATTTCTTTATTGCTTCCACCCCGTCCTCTTGGCTGAGTCCCTTCTGCCCCCCACTCCTGACTCTGGCTGCTTTGTAGTTTCCTGCCCTGCAGTAGACGCTGGCTGGCCTCCCGCTCCTCCTGCCCCAGCCTTGCCTGCCCCTGGCCACAGGCTGTCCTGTGGATGGGGGCGGTGTCCCGCACGCTGCTGGCTGGCCTGCTGCCCTTGGCTGCCGCACCCTGTAGGGTCCAGCCCTGCTCCCCGCTTCCTGCCAGGGGCCATAGGAGGCAGAGCCGTGAGCACAGGGGTTGGGGAAGGGCAGACAGGAGCCAGCCCAGGAGACCCTCACGCCCCGGCACATTCCACAGCCTCACGTGAGCTCCTCACCTGGCCAGGCCACTGAGCCTCCTTTTGTGGAAGCGGTGGGTGGTGAATCCATGAGACCAGAGAGTCCGACTCAGGTTGTCCAGCAGGAGGCAGCGTGGCTCCCTGTCCCCAGCCACAGTGAGGCCCCTGCCCACACCAGCCTGGGGCAGGAGGGCCCCCAAGTCCCTAATCCAGAACTCGAGCCTGGAAGATGAAGGCTGCCCGCTCGTGGGTCCCCGCAGGACCGCCCCCAGCACCGTGGCAGACATCTTGCGGGCGGTGTTTCCGGAGTGAGCTGAGAGGCAGAAGGCCTTGCAGACCACGTGCCGGCCTTTCAGGTCTGAAGCTGGGAGGCGTGAGGCCGCTCCTGACACAGAGCCCCGGGGCAGCACGGCTTGGCCAGCACTCTCTGAGGCCACGTCCTGGTTGGGTCATGCTGCGACGGGTCAGGACAGATGACTGACAGCTGTGGCTTAGGGACTGTGCCCAGAAGACCTGCTCGGGGGCGGCAGGGCAAGAGTCCCCATTGGCATGGCCCCTTGAGCCCGCACACACGCGTCTTTCCATGAACAGGTCTTTTCCGAAGGCTGCTGTGCCAGCTCTCCCTGGGACCTGGTGCAGCAGAGGCCCTGTCGAGGGACAGCTGTGATGGTGGCCTCACGGAGGGAGTGCAGCCGTTGAGGCCTGAGCGGGGCCTCCCTTTCCCTGCAGCGCGTCCGGACGGGCTTGCAGGAGGAGGCGGCGGTGTGCTAGCGGGGCCTGGAGTCAGCTGGCCTGGCTCTGAGAGATTCCCCGTTCTCAGAGAGATCCGGGCCTGGGGAGCCCACCAGCTTGGGCGCTAACATAGGAGCTGTTTTCCGGGCACAGGGAGATTCTGGCCCATCATTGTGACCTTGTGGCAGGGGTGGTCTGCATTTTGTTCCAGTTTGAGCTGGGCGGTGTTTCAGTCTCACACCTTCTGCTTGTTTGAGTGGATGCCAGGCTGGTCCCAGACACCCCTAGGTGGACACATTAGCACCTCCAGGAAGGCGCCTGTAAAGTAGGCACACAATGGCTCTGCGGGAGGAGAGGGGACTGTCCATCCCTTGGCAGCCCTGGGCCTCGGGGGCCTGTGTCCCTGTGCCTGAGTGAGGGGTCAGCCCCTCCTGTGGCTTTTCCCCCATTCCAGAATGAGCTTGCCGGCCCCTGCCCCATGGGCAGCAGGCTTGGGGCATGGCCTGCGTGGGAGGCCTCCAGCTCCGGGCATGAGGGGAGAGAGAGGGTTTCCGAGTCCTGAGATCGGACTTGGCGCCTCCTTCCTGGGGCCCCATTTTGCCAGGCAGGGCACTGGCATGCTGGGCAGTCCTGTGGACATGCAGATGCTGGCTGTGGTGTGGGGTCTCATCCCAGAGGTCTGCAGCGGGCAGGGACCCTGGGGCCTCACGGCGGTGCCATTTGCTGACTGTGGATGTGGCTGAGCAGGGCCCTGGCAGAGCCCTGTTTCCATCCCGGAGAGTGAGGCTGGTGATGGCCTCTGCCCCCCGCTGCTGTGAGAGCAGTGAGATGGTGCTGGGCGGGGCCGGCACGGTCACCCTCTACAGCACGGGGCCAGCACGGTCACTCTCTAAGGGTGAGCTGCAGTGTTGGTGCCGAGACTGCCTAACTGGTGGTCCCGAGTGTGTTTCTTGTCCCAGCCGTTACGCTGTGCTGAAGGCGGTGCACTGAGACGCTGCGGGTGTCTCTCTCACACGGAGTTTGGGGTGAGGACCAGGGTGCATGTGACGTCATCCGTGCGTTAGAGAGATTGGCTCCAACCTCCTACCCTCGCATCTTACCCAGGGTCACGCAGGCTGCCTGCCCCAGGGCCACGGGGGTGACCTGCCCAGAGCAGAGGAGGTCAGCACGGCCCTTCAAAGCCAGGCTTCTCTCGAGGCAGTGAGGAGGGGCTGGGGCGCAGCAGGGCCCACAGTCACCCTGGCCACCCAGCAGCATGGCGGCTCGTTTCCCCAGAGAAGGGTCCAGCTCTGACAGCCTGAGGCTTCTCCAGCCTCATCAGGAAGGGTCAGCGGCAAGCTCCTGTTGAGACCCGGGACCTCAGGCTCTGCCCTGTCCTTCCTGCTGTACTTGGTGGGGCCGCAGCAGTCACCCGCCCGCTCATCCGTCTTTCACCTGCGACTAAGCCACTGCTGTCAGCCACATCCCATGGGATTAAAGGCAAAACCATGAGGTCTGTCCTGGGGGTCAAGGCCTGGCCAAGAAGCTCATTCACCCCCTCGTCCCTCCCTTACCCCTCCCCCATCCCTTACTCTCTCCCATCCCCTCATCCCTCCGTCATCTCCCATCATCCCCGTATTCTTTTCTCATTCCCCCTCATCCCTCCCTCCCTCATTCCCCATCCCCACATCCCTTATTCTTCGCCGTCCCCATCATGCCCTTTTCCTTTCCTCATTTCCTCATCCCTCCCTCATTCCCTCATCCCCCCATCAGCCGAACTCCTCATCCCCTTGTTAGCTCCTCCCTCATTCCTTCATCTCACCCCTCCCTCCTTCCCTCATCCCCTCTTTTCATCCTCTCTTCCCTCACTCCGTTTGCCTCCCCCTCACCCGCATCCCCTCACCCCCTCATCTTTTACCCCCTCGTCCCTGTATCTCCTAATTCCCTCACCCCTCCTCCCCTTGCCCCTCATTCACGCCTCCCTTCATTCCCTCCATCCCCTTTCCTTCATTGTTTTCTCCCCTCACCCCCTCACTCCCTCACCCCCATGCCCTCATCTCCTCACCCTCTCCTTTCTTCCTCCCTTCACCCCCTCATTTCTTTCTCCCCTTCTTCCTTCATCTCCTCCTCCCTCACCCCTCCTCCCCTCATGCCTCACCTCCTCCTCTCCTCTCATCCCTCCTCCCTCCTCGCCTCCTCCCCTCATCCCTTATTCCCTCCTCCCCTCCTCCCTCTTCCCCTCATCCTTTATTCCCTCCTCCCCTCCTCCCTCCTTCCCCATTCCTCCTCCCTCCTCCCCTCATCCCTTACCCTGATCCGAATAGCAGACACTAAGCAAGCAGGCTATGTCCTGGCCTGCGACACAGCAGTGATGTGACCTGATTCAGGAGCCGGAGTCCAGTGATGATGTCAGCCAGGGCGAGGGGGACTGTGGGGTTTCCCGGTGGGGAGGGCGCACCAGGAGAGTGAGCTTGCCTGAGCTGGGGGCACAAAAGGAGCCCATGAGTAGAGGTGGAGGGGAGAGTGGGAGAGGGGGCTCCCGGGCAGCACTGAGCCCCTGACCTGGCACTGCCTCTGAGGCCAGATCTTGTCTAGGATTCTCCTTCTCCTAGGACAGTGACCTCCAGGGCCATGCCGTCGAGGGAGGCAGTGGGGAGCAGTGACAAGCAGGTGGTCTCCCAGCTGGTGTGGCATCCGGGGTGGCGCGCATCAGGGCGCCAGCTCTGGCTGTGTCGGCCACTGCAGCCCAGCCCCTGCCAGTACAGCCCAGGCCAGAGCCTTGTCCGATGTTGCTCAGAGCCCGTGCCTTCCTCAGGCCCATGGGGACAGGACGAGGCTCTCTCCCACTGCACCCCACACACTCCTCACCTCTGTCAAGCCTGTGCCTGGCACCCGGCAAGCACGCCACCCCAGCCCCTATGTCTAAGTCCTTGGTGGGCTTCACAATCCAGCTGTAACGGGCCCTCCTCCAGGCAGCCTTCCCGACTCTGCCCACCTCCTTCTCCCCTGCCCAGCTGTAGGATCTCTCCCTCTCTGTGTGGATCTACTGTGCATTTGCCGCCAGGCCAGGTTTCACACTCTCGAGGGCAACATCAGCCTTGCCAGTTGTATATTTCCTCACAGGACAGAGCCCAGGAGCAGGGCTCAGTCAGGCCAGGAGTGGGGAGCTGGGAGGGTGGAGCCAGCAGTGACCAGGGCTCAGGCTGGAGGTGGAGAGGCTGCAGGGCAGGGTGAGGCTGTGGCCCTCGGGTGCCTGGCCCAGCTCTTGCAGTTGGCGTGGTCCTGTGTGGATGCCAGCGTCCAGCTTTCATCCCACAGACTGGCTTGGGCTGCCTGTGTTCCCTGCTCTCTGTTCTGGTGGCAGGGCTCTCGGGCTGCGTGGCGGGCGGTGCCACGTGACTGCCTTGGGTCCCCTCCAGACCCTGTGGACTGTGTCTCTGAGGTGGGGGTTCAGGCACAATCCCCTGCTCTTAGTGGTGTGTTCACCCGCGGGCGAGGAGGGCCTGCCCTGGCTGCCATCCATGGCCTCACCCTGTTAGAAGCACCTGTGTGTTTCTGTTGAAGCTTTGAGCATGGGGCTTACTGTTCAGATTCTCCACAGAGGCAGTTGCCCTGTGATGCCCGCCTTGCCCGTCAGCTTGCTGGGTGACTTGAAGAAGAGCCCGGCACCACCGTCTCAGTGGCGTGTGCACACCCTGAGGGGCCCTTTGCAGCTGGCTCCTTTCACGGTCAGGTGCAGAACAGCCCGAGCTGAGCAGCAGCCTCACTGCAGCCTTGGAGGGAGCGGGCGGAGTCCCAGCCACCTGCTCCGGTTCCCGGACGCGGGTCTGTGGCCGTGCCAGGGCCTGAGAACACGGCCCACAGCACGTGTGTTGCCTTTGTCAGCAAAAGCTTCTCAGCAAGCGCTCAGGGCTCCCCATGCGGGCTCTCCCTCCTTTGAGCCCTGAACCTTCTCTGCCCCGAGCTGAAGGTGGGGTGAAGATGGGGTGGTCCTTCTTTCTCGGCCCCAGCAGAGGGCAGCCTCAGTCCGAGGCTGGAGGAGGGAGCCACCGGAGAGGCCTCCTGGGCGCCACTGCTCCGCTTCCCGGTCGGCTTTGGAAGGAACTGTCCTGATCAGCATGTCCTGAGAGAGGACCGTTCGTAACCCCACCTCGGGCGATCCGTGGCGGTGCAGCCTGACCCCTGCAGCCATCTCTTTCTTTAAAAGTGGGTTCCCTGAGCACAGCAAATCAGAGGAGGGGCTGAGGAACCAGGAGCAGCAGGTGGGGGCGGGACCGCCTTGCTGGGAGGAGGGGCAGAGGTGAGAGTTGGGCGCTCAGGCCCTGTCCTGGCTGTTGGTGGTGGGGCCTAGGAAGGGCCCATCCCTGCTCTGGGCCTGGGTCCCCAGTTGTGGAACGGTGGGATGTGGAGCGTCTGCAGGATACCCGGGCAGCTGCTGATGGCAAAGCCCACCCAGGCTAACTCGAGGCTCTGCCCATGGGGCTGCCCCCGTTTCAGCGTTTCTGCTTCAGGGGGTCTGGGCTGGGGCTGAGAATCTGTATTTCTAGCAAGTTCCCACCCTGGGCTGCATGTTTCCTCCTGTGCTGATTCTGGAGGTTTTGTAGCTGTCACGTGGGGTAGAGTGAGGGGGGCTTCAGGGGACGGGGCTTGGAGCAACCTCGTGCCTGCTCCTGGAGTGGGGGTCCTGGCGTGGTCTCCAAGGCCCTCTCAGCCCACATCCTGCCGCGTGATCTTGGTCATGTCTCAGCCTTCCTGGGTCTTGGTTTCCTGCTGCATGATGGTGGGGCACCCGTCGGTGGTTCCCATGCTGTACCTACAAGCTCGGTGGGTCCCAGCTGGCAGTGTGGGTCCCGTGTGGGTGAGCTGGTACTCTGCCAGCCTGCTCCACCCCGGTCCGCCAGCCGCTGTCCCCTCTGATCTCACTTGGGGTCTGGGTAAGACCTGTCCTCCCTTTGTAGAGGCTTGAGGGGCACAGGGGGACCAAGGAGTGTTGCCAAGGACAGTCCTGGCCCTGGATTCCAGGATCTCCTGCCCGTGACCAGGTGGAGCAAGGCAGGCTGTGGGCCAAGGGCTGGTTGAGAGACCTGGCTGTAGCTCTGCAGGGCAGAGTGGGTGGCCTCTGGGACACACCAGTGGTTTGGAAATGACCCAGGGGCATAACAGTAGCTGTCCCCAAGTCAGACCCTGGCCCGGATGGCCATCTTGGCACCTGGAGGATGGGATGGTGGTCTGGGAAGGCCCCTTCCCTGCTGCGCACACAGCCCTGTAAGGCCCCCTCCCGCCATTCCCTCCCCAGCTCACATGTGAGACTCCACCACAGTCAGGTTCTCAGAGAGATTCTAGTCTACTGGGGTCTGAGCAGGGCAAAGCCACATACTACCTGGACTGAAAAAATCTCTGCGAGGACCCCCAAAGGGGCTGTTGTGGCCTCGTGTGGAAGTGGGTTTGTGTTGTACTTACTGCCCCAGGCCTGGCTCCAGCAGAGCCCAGTGGTCCTAAGGAGCAGCCCCTGCCTGGCCTTGGGGTCCGGCCTGCCTCACTAGACTCACTTCTTTGCTGTGTCACACTTGGGGGCCAAGAAGCCCCAGGATGGGGCAGGGACATAGCTCCTGATGACCAAGGAGTGCCTGGGCTGGGAGGACCCGGTGCTTTCTGAAGGGCGCACGGAAGGGAGTGGGTGCTGAGAGCCCTGCTGGTCCTGGTCCTGGGGCCGAGGGGCGAGGGGTGGGCAGGCTCTGTCTGCATACACACAGATGGAAGAGAAGGAAGGGGAGCAGAAGCAAGCTGAGGCCCTTTAGAGACTTTAGGCAGGAGACAGAGGGTCCAGCACGGGGCCAGAGGGTTGGGCCCACCAGAGACAAGGCTGATGGGACCCAGTGCATAGAGGTAATGAGGATGATAGCGATGCTAGCGTGTACTGGATAATGATGTGTACCCAATAGTGACGCTGACATGTACCAGATAGTGATGCTGACGTGTACCAGATAGTGACGTGTACCAGACAGTGATGCTGACGTGTACCAGATAGTGACGTGTACCAGATAGTGGTGCTGACATGTGCCAGATAGTGACGCTGACGTGTACCAGATAGTGACGTGTACCAGATAGTGACGTGTACCAGATAGTGACACTGACATGTACCAGATAGTGATGTGTACCAGATAGTGACGTGTACCAGATAGTGATGCTGACATGTGCCAGATAGTGACGCTGACGTGTACCAGATAGTGATGTGTACCAGATAGTGACGTGTACCAGATAGTGACACTGACATGTACCAGATAGTGATGTGTACCAGATAGTGACGTGTACCAGATAGTGGTGCTGACATGTGCCAGATAGTGACGCTGACGTGTACCAGATAGTGACGTGTACCAGATAGTGACGTGTACCAGATAGTGACACTGACATGTACCAGATAGTGATGTGTACCAGATAGTGACGTGTACCAGATAGTGATGCTGACATGTGCCAGATAGTGACACTGACATGTACCAGATAGTGATGTGTACCAGATAGTGACGTGTACCAGATAGTGATGCTGACATGTGCCAGATAGTGACGCTGACGTGTACCAGATAGTGACGCTGACGTGTACCAGATAGTGGTGCTGACGTGTGCCAGATAGATAGTGACGCTGACGTGTACCAGATAGTGACGTGTACCAGATAGTGACGTGTACCAGATAGTGACACTGACGTGTACCAGATAGTGACATGTACCAGATAGTGACGTGTACCAGATAGTGATGCTGACGTGTGCCAGATAGTGACGCTGACGTGTACCAGATAGTGACGCTGACGTGTACCAGATAGTGGTGCTGACATGTGCCAGATAGATAGTGACGCTGACGTGTACCAGATAGTGACGTGTACCAGATAGTGACGTGTACCAGATAGTGACACTGACGTGTACCAGATAGTGACGTGTACCAGATAGTGACGTGTACCAGATAGTGGTGCTGACGTGTGCCAGATAGATAGTGACGCTGACGTGTACCAGATAGTGACGTGTACCAGATAGTGGTGCTGACGTGTGCCAGATAGTGATGTGTACCAGATAGTGGTGCTGACGTGTGCCAGATAGATAGTGACGCTAACGTGTACCAGATAGTGACGCTGACGTGTACCAGATAGTGACACTGACGTGTACCAGATAGTGACGTGTACAAGATAGTGGTGCTGACGTGTGCCAGATAGTGACGTGTACCAGATAGTGGTGCTGACGTGTGCCAGATAGATAGTGACGCTGACGTGTACCAGATAGTGACGTGTACCAGATAGTGGTGCTGACGTGTGCCAGATAGTGATGTGTACCAGATAGTGGTGCTGACGTGTGCCAGATAGTGATGTGTACCAGATAGTGGTGCTGACGTGTACCAGATAGTGACGTGTACCAGATCGTGACGTGTACCAGATAGTGACGTGTACCAGATCGTGACACTGACATGTACCAGATAGTGACGTGTACCAGATAGTAGTGCTGACGTGTACCAGCTCCAGGCCCTGTTCTCATCACATTCAAGTATTAGCTCATTTAATCTGTGGGACATCTTGAGTTAGGGCCAATTACTACCCCATGGTACTGACAAGGAAATGGGCACAAAGCTGTCGGTGACATCCTGAGGCCCCGCAGCTGTGAAGTGGTTCTGCGGCATTCCAAGCGGTCTGAGGCACTTGTTCCAGGCCAGGCTGCAGTGGCCCCAGCCCTGGCAGCAGGCCTGACCCTCCACAGGACCCTGGAATGTTTCAGGAGAGGAGCACATCCCTCCCGGCCTTTGTCTTGGCTCCCAGGCCATCTGCCTGGTCCGGCTGAGGACAGATGCAAGGCTCTCACAGCAGACCCCGGGGAAGGGGGTGTGTGCAGGGCCAGGGCCAGGGCCAGGGCGCCCCACCTGGGCTCGCACCCCAGCCCTGTGTGCAGCAAGAGCCTGGGGCCATGAGCCCCAGCGTGCACCTGTCACGCTCCTCAATTATCTGCCCTGGGCTCTGTGCTATGCTTGTTCTGACGTCTCCATTTCTTCTGTGTGTACGTGTATGTCCTGGCTGCCTCCACCTTTAGCGTTTCATTGGGAAATGACACTAGGTACAGCTCACTTTTCTCTTCTGCCCTTGCTTGGTCTGTCCTCTTCTGCTTTTCCAAGTTCCTTTTCCTCAGCGTCTGCCTGCTTCTCTGCCCTTTCTCTGACTGCCCGCTGTCCTCACTCTTCTGGGGTCGCTCCTTGGTGATGTGTGTCTGATAGTGGCTTTCCCTGGTCCCCCTGCTTCCTCCTACAACCCCAACCTGTGAGCTCCATGCCCTGTGTCCAGACCATGCTGTGCAGTAAACAGGGCAGCCTGGCACCACCTGTGCCCCACTGAGGCCTCAGGAGGGCCCGGCCGCCTTGGAACCTGTGTGGCCACCCAGCAGTGTGTGTGTCAATGTCTCTGAACTGTGTCCTCGCGAGGATGCTTGGAGGGGAGCTGGGCGAGGCTGGGCGGATGGCAGGATGGGGCAGCCGAGGGTGCTGCCCAGAGTCTGTGGAGCGGCCGCACTCTGGATTCAGGCAAATTGCCTGCCCTGGGTGTGACCAGTCCTCCCTGTGGGCACCAGGCCTGAGGAAGGAGCTCAGTTGCTCTGCCATCCAGAGGGCTCGAAACAGGAACTCTCACATAACAGAAAACCCTGTTCTGGAGCAGAGGGCACCCAAGGTGTTTGCAGAACGCAGTTCAACCCCATGGGGATGTAAAATCCCAGAGCCCTGGGGTTGGCCCTGAGCCGCCCTGGGATGGAGTATGCTGGTGGCCGGCTCAGGCTGTGGTCACTGTAACTCCGGGTTGGAGATCAGGGACACAGCGTGGCCGCTGCTGTTCCCTGTATGCTACAGAGAGCGGCTCTTGCGCACAGCCTCGCAGCAGCTGCCCTGCCTCCAAGCCAAGCATCCTCCCCCCGGGCCTTCCTCTGCCTGATGGACCAAGGGTGAGTCCATTGTCGGAGGAGATGGACTGTGGAGGGTTCTGGCAAACCTGGGCAGGTCCCCTTCAGGTCCAGGGAGAGATGGCGGTGCCTCCTTACTCAGACTGAGGCTGGAGTGGGTCCGGCACAGGCTCTGCCCTCTGTCTCCCTGCCTCTGCCCTTCCCCTCCTCCCCGCGAGGCCTCTCCTCTTACCCCCCTTCTCCTTTCCCTTGTTCCCACCATCCCAGCTCCCTGTCCTGCCTCCCTCTCTGCCCTTCTTCTTCTCATTCCCCGCCACCTCCTCTCCTTCCAGCCTCAGTGTGACAGCCACAGACGGGCACCATCCGTGGTAGAGCTGGGAAAACGCTGGGCTCACCCCCATTGGGGCTTCCAAAAGTCCCCACTCTCTGGGTCCTGAGTAAGGAGGTGCCCGTCCTTCCTGGCGCCGCCGCCCGGGCTTCCAGCCTGTGCCTCCAGCCGCACCCTTGCGGCTGCCCCACGTCTGTCGCTCTGTCTGCATGTCCCCGGCCTGGCTGAGAGCAGCCCCCTGCCATCAACTTCTCCTTGGTCTCTGCTTCCTTCCAGGACCTTTTACCAGTTTGAGGCTGCGTGGGACAGCTCCATGCACAACTCTCTCCTGCTGAACCGGGTCACTCCTTATCGAGAGAAAATCTACATGACACTCTCTGCTTACATTGAGGCAAGGCACCCATGCCAGGGCACACCACCAAGACCACCCAGCCCCCAAGGCTCAAGGTTGTTGGGCGCTCTGGACAACCCCAGATGACCTAGACGCTTTTCAGAGGACTTCTCCCTACTTTAAATCCACGTGCCTTTTTTTTTTTTTTTAACTGGACTACAAGGTTGAATACATAAATCCATTTGCTTTTTGTGTTTTCTTTTTTTTTTTTTTTTTTTAAGATGGAGTCTCGCTCTTGTCACCCAGGCTAGAGTGCAATGGCACAGTCTCGACTCACTGCAACCTCTGCCTCCCGGGTTCAAGCAGTTCTCCTACCTCAGCCTCCCAAATAGCTGAGATTACAGGCGCCCGACACCACGCCCTAATTTTTGTATTTTTAGCAGAGACAGGATTTTGCCATGTTGGCCAGGTTGGTCTTGAACTCCTGGTCTCAGGTGATCCGCCTGCCTTGGCCTCCCGGAGTGCTGGGATTCCAGGCATGAGCCACACATCCGGCCTCCATGTGCTTTCTATGGCAGTTAACTCACTCTGCTAAACTTAGTGTGTGGGTGTCGTCCTTGGGAGGCAAGATGGCTGCAGCCACCAGACACGTGTCTATGTTCCCAGCAGCACAAAACAAGCGTCCCATCCCCACGCCCCTCCCCCACCGTCAGGGTGTACAGTCCGCCAGCCATGGCCAGGCCTGGGCTGCGCCTCCCAAGTGCAAGAGTCGACTGGAGGCATGGGCGTTGCTTGCTGGTGGTAGTAGTGAGGGGGGGCGGGGAGCCATGGCAAGGCATCTGCAAGGCACGGCCCCTCTCCTCAGTCACAGCTGAATTATTCCAGCATCACATGGGGACCATGTGCCCAACTCACGGGAAGGTGCTGAGGTTGTGCCGGGGAGATGCTGGCAGAGCTCCTCCCAGTGAGTCCTCGGGGCGCCTCAGCCACGCACAGCAGCAGCCCCCACTTGTGAAGACAAGGGGCCAGCTGTTTAGCAGCCAGCATGCCAGCCTCCAGGAAGTCATTTTCTGTGGCATTTGAGTTGAAATGCACACGCTCAAACCAGGTCTGCTTTGATCCTCACGGACTTTCCGGGGTTGGGAGGGTGTCGCCCCAATTCTGTGGTGAGGAAGGTGAGGCGCAAGCGGTGAGCCTGTGTCTGGGACCCTCGGCGTCTCCACACGTGGAGGCTTGCCCCTCAGGCTGCCCAGCGGTGGACAGGGCTGTGGCTGTCTGTCCCCAGCAGGGTTTGGCTTCAGGCCAGGAGCAGACAGTTTCTCCCGCCTGGGTCCAGGCCACACCTGAGGCCCTGGGAGGGCCCTGGGGCTGCCAGTCAGTGCTGGGCCGGCTGGGAGAAGGCTGGAAGGACACCTGGGCACCTGAGGTGACCCGTGCCTGAGCCCGGCCCTGCCTGTCTCAGATGGAGAACTGCACGCAGCCAGCCGTCATCACCAAGGACTTCTGCATGGTCTTCTATTCCCGCGATGCCAAGCTGCCCGCCTCGCGCTCCATCCGGAACCTGTTTGGCAGTGGGAGTCTTCGGGCCTCGGAGAGGTAAGCCCCTGGGGTGAGGCCGCCCGGACTGCCACCCTGGTCTCCGTGCAGGCTAGGCTGGGCTCTGCCTGACAGCAGTCCTTGGGCCACCCTGCAGCTCACACTGTGGGAGGCCCGGCCACACTCCCAGCTGGCTCCCTACGCTGGGTCCCCTCCCGCTCACCCCTGATGGAGGCTCTGTGGAGGCCACGGTGCCTACAGGGGACAGTGATACCACAGTGAGGGGCATGAGGAGGCCTGGGCCAGCCTACGGGGCAGAGGAGGGGGGCCCGGGGTACCCACCTGGGACCTCCTGTGGGTGGTCCTGGGGCCACACCACGCCTCCCCGCTGGTGACCTTCCCTGGGGAACACGGGAACCCCTGCCATGCGAGTGCTCACCAGGCAGTGAAGGGTGGGCTAGATAAATGTGGGAGGGGCTGGAAGGGGGCTCTGGACACGGCTTCCCACAGGACATGCTGGGCAGCTCTTCTCGGAGGCTGGTGGCACCTGGGGGAGCCAGACAGCAAACACCAGGACCAGCTGTCCTTGTGCACTGACCACACGCCTGCATTCTCAGGGCAGCAGGGGGAGAATGAGCTGGAATGTCAGGGCCCTGGCTGCTGGGCTGCTGACGCTGCCGGGCACCCGTGGCTGCCTTCAGTGGGTGCCCCTGTGGTCTGCCCCATGGACTTGGTGTCCAGGTTCACTCTGAGCACTGCCGGGAGGACAGAGCTTGGGGGTCAGGACTTAGTGTCCTCGAGGGCTGGCTGTGGTCAATCTGGAGGTCACTTGGTCATTGTGGGATGCCACTGATCTGTCTCTGTGAGATACTGGCCAAAGCGCTCTCAGAATCTGTCCTGGGCATGGTGGGGCTGCTCTTTGCGGGGCTCTCGACACCCTGGAGGGACTGGAGGTGCTGGATGCTGGGGATCTGGGGACAAAGGTGCTCACCTTGCCTGTGTGTCCCCTGGGCTGGGACAAAGCGGAGGCTGCGCTGGGGCCCTGGCCTCAGGTCACAGCCCCAGGGGCACCTGAGCAAAACCAGCATCTTTTCTGTGGGGGCCGGATCGGGTCTGGGATGAGGACTCTGAACAGGGGCTGTAGCTCAGGGACCCCGACACCCACCACCCCGACATTCACCTGTTGAATGTGTGTTTGATAGTGGGGCCTGTCCGCAGCCAGGTTGGCTGTGTGTCCCCGTTGTGGGGCCTGGTGACCACGTGTTGCTCCCTCTGTTCCCTCTGCTCCCTCTGCTCCCTGCAGTAACCGTGTGACCGGCGTGTATGAGCTCAGCCTGTGCCACGTGGCTGATGCAGGCAGCCCAGGTAGGTGTCTGTCCTGCTCTCTCTGGGTGGGTTCCTGGCCTGCTTGACCTCTGCCCACTTGGGGTGACCACAGGCTAAGCTGCCCTTTGCAGGGGTCCCTCACCGATAGAACACAGCACTCACTCTGTGGCTTCTAGAGTTGTTCTGACGTGGGAGGAGAGTCAGGCCTGCTGGCTTCCTCAGGTGCCCAGGACACAGCGGCCAGGGTCGTGTGACACCAGGCCAGATGACCTCCTATGGAGGAGGCCTGCATGGCTCTTTGGGCCCCAGGGTGGACCCAGGACCAGGGGAAGCTGATCTTCACCCCAGTGGAGAGGCAGCTTCAGAGTGGGGCAGGCTCTAGGGTGGGTGGGAGGAACCGCCACCTATCAGGTAGGGATGGAGTGTCCGTGTCCCCTGTCCAGGAATGCAGCGCCGGCGCCGGCGAGTCCTGGACACGTCCGTGGCCTACGTCCGGGGCGAGGAGAACCTGGCAGGCTGGAGGCCCCGGAGTGACAGTCTCATCCTGGACCACCAGTGGGAACTGGAGAAACTGAGCCTCCTGCAGGAGGTGAGGCAGCCTCGGAGGAGGAGGCCCACATGGCCTTGTCCACGTGGCTTTGTCTGCAGAGCAAAAGCTGGAGAAGGCCCAGTGCCTGGTGCCCACTGCAGGGACAGCACAGCGGTCGGGAGTCACAGCCACCTGCAGGAGAACTCTGTGACACCCCAGCTGCTCACCCTGGGGCTGGGTGGCACATGACAGAAACATGGCCAGGGTAGCATGGAGCCATGTTCTGGAGTGAGCTGGGGAAGACTATCAGGCTTGCAAACAGAGGCCAGGAAGGCCCGGAAAGAAAGTCAGGGGGTGGGGGACGGTGCTGCCCTCCGAAGCTTTAATCTGGGAAACCGACATGCGGCATCTACGTGCTGCCTTGGGCCAAGTGTGCATGTGACATGTGACGCCTGAGGCACTTGAGATGCGTGAGGCCAGGGCTGTGCCCACCCATCAGCCCTTTCCCGACGCTGCCAGCACCGCGGGGCAGCACGGCCCTGCCCCAGAACCTGGTGCTCGAGATGCCTGTGTCCGTCTGCTCACCGTGGGTCCGCACAGTGGCCCCAAGGCCGCAGGCTGAGGTGGGAGGGCAGGGGGTGCGGAGTGCTGTCAGCCCTGTGGCCCCAGTGACTGTTCCCTCATTTCATGGCTGAGGGCCATCAGTCTCCGTCTCAGCCCAGGGGAGGGGTGGGCTCTCTGGGGGTCTGCCCAGAGGGTCCTGCTGCTGCTGAGGCCAAGCCCTACCCCAAAGGCCACCCCTGAGGTCCAGCAGGTAAGGCCTTGTGTCCTCTCTGAAGGTGGAGAAAACTCGGCATTACCTGCTCCTGCGGGAGAAGCTGGAGACTGCCCAGCGGCCTGTCCCAGAGGTGCTGTCCCCGGCCTCCAGCGAGGACTCCGAGTCCCATGGCTCCTCCAGCGCCTCTTCCCCGATCTCAGCTGAGGGCCGCCCCTCGCCCCTGGAGGCTCCCAACGAGAGGCAGCGGGAGCTGGCCGTCAAGGTGGGTCTAGCTGGTGGGCAGCACAGCCATGGCTGCAGGCCCTGGAGGACCCTGGGTCATTCCTGGGTAGCTCCAGCAACCCAGCCTTGCCCACGCCTGCCCTGGTTGGTGCCACCAGGAGCTGGGAGTGTGAGGGGTCCCTAGGGTCCCCTTGCCCGCTGCCTCCACCCCACCTGCACTGAAATTTGGGTGCCTTTTGCAGCCTTCCCTCCCAAGTGATGATGTGCCCGCTCTTGAATACCTGTGCCAATGGGGAGCTCACCACTTCCAGCCACAAGTGATTCTTTTGGTGGCTGACCGGGCCACTAGGAAGGCCTCCTGCATTGCAGGCAGCTCTGCCTCTGGCCCTCACCAGGCCCTGAGCCTGACCCTGGGAGGCTTCCTGGGCTCACCTGATGGCCTGAGAGGGGTGGAGGTGCTGCCCACCTTGACCTGCTTTTTGTCCTCTGGCTTTGGAACCGACCTGTGTCTGGGGAGGAGTGGGCGGAAGACCCTGTGAGTCTGGCTGGGCAGGTCCCGGGGGGCTGGCCCCTGACCCCTCGTGCTCCGTCCACAGTGCTTGCGCCTGCTCACGCACACGTTCAACAGAGAGTACACACACAGCCACGTCTGCGTCAGCGCCAGCGAGAGCAAGGTGGGTGTGGAGGGGCTGCCCCAAGCTGCCCCGTGGGGCTCAGGTCCCTACAGCCAGTTGTCCCTGAGAACAACTCCCATTCCGAGTGGGAAGAGGCAGTTAAGGGTTTCCTAGGCACGTGGCTTAGTGCAGAGGGACACATAGTGCCAGTTTCCTGTCTGCCTGGGGTCCACGGGAGGCGGGGCATAAGTGAGGGGCCGGGTGGGTCCTGTGGCCTGGTGCACATCCAGGCACTTGCAGGCTTCTGCTGTCTTCCTGGCCCCCACCCTGTCTGGCTGTCACCCTCTGGCCTCTGGCCTGGTCAGTCAAGCCCCCACTCGGCTGTCCCTTCTCCTACTGGGACCGCCCCCACCGAGTAGCCTGGGAAGCTGCCCCTGTGCTGTGCCATGCCTGGAGCTCCCGCCTCGGCCACAGCCTTCCTTGCCGCCATGGCATTGCCCAGCACCACCTCACACAGCATGGACGGGGGCAACAGGGCAGAGCTCACCCAGCATACTCCTCAAGGAGATGGCAGGGTGGCTGCCTGGCTCAGGCCAGAGCCTGAAGTGCTGGAAGGGCCGGCCAGGGGCTGCAGGGTCCTGGGGTCTTGAGACGGCCAACCTTCAGCATGGCTGCTGCCAGGAGGGGTAGGGTGCCCCAGGCAGCAGGTGCAGGGTGGGCGCAGGCATGGGGAGCAGCGCCCGCAGGGGCCAGAGACCTCCTTCCCTGTGTCCCCTGAGAAAGACCTGTCTCATCTGCAGCTCTCCGAGATGTCTGTCACCCTGCTGCGGGACCCGCCGATGTCCCCTCTAGGGCCAGCCACTCTCACGCCCTCCTCCACTTGCCCTTCTCTGGTTGAAGGGCGCTACGGTGCCACTGACCTGAGGTGAGTAAGCTCCAGCCTCCCGGAGAAGTTTCCGGCACCACAGCCGACCGTGACAGTGGCAGTGACTCCGGGACATGGAGAGAGCAGAAGGGGCAGCAGCAGAGGGAAGGGCCTGGATGGGTGGGGTCCTCAGCCTGTCAGAGGCACCTGTGCCCTGCCAGCTCCCTCCCGTGTGTGTTCCCTTTCCCTGAGCCGTGCTTAGAAAATAACGGAAAGAGAAAAGGCTATAAAAGAGGACCTGAGAACTGTCAGGCTCCATATCACGAGGGGAACACCTGGGCCCTGCAGGGGACCCTGCGTGAGCCCCTTATGTCCGATTCACAAGCCGGCAGGCAGTTTTCACTCTCGTTTTAAAATGCCTTAAGGTTTCCAGGTTTTCATTAAAAAAGAAGGAAGGCAGCCTCAGCCCAGCCTCCTCGTCGGCAGGCCTCTGACCACCAGATCAAGTCACGGGGGCCTGGCCCATGCAGGGTGGGGGGGTTGGGGGCAGCGGCACCCTCTGTTCAAATGGCTCCTTGGAACCGTGTGTCACCTTCAGTCTCACTGTGGAGGTGGGGACAGGAGGGCCACTGGGAGGAGGGTGTGGAGAGGGGCACGGGCTCCCTGGCGGGGCCCCTGAGGCTTGTCAGGGAGCCTCCCCACCATGCCCAGCACTTCCTGAAATCAGGCACATGCCTGGCTATCCTGGCGGGTGCTTCCCGGGAGTTCCTGCTGTAACTTCCCGGTGGCATAGTTGGGGAAACCCCACAAAGCTGCCCTACTGTAGCTCTGAGGAGGGCGAAGCCCAGGGGGAGACAGCCCAGGCCCAGGGAGGCCCGCGGCATGCAGCCCTTCCCTCTGCTTCCCAGGACCCCACAGCCCTGCTCCCGGCCGGCCAGTCCAGAGCCCGAGCTGCTGCCAGAGGCCGACTCCAAGAAGCTCCCTTCCCCTGCCCAGGCAACAGAGACAGACAAGGAGCCCCCGCGCCTGCTGGTCCCTGACATCCAGGAGATCCGAGTCAGGTGTGTGTGGCCTCCCTGGAAAGCGCCGCCAGCCAGCTTTGTGCCGGCAGGGGATAGGCAGGCTGTCCCTGACCCCATACTGCGGGCACAGGGACCCTCAGACTCAGGGCGACAGGCAGGTTGTCTGACCCCACACACTGGAGGTCCAGGCAGGTTGTCCCTGACCCACAGGCAGGGGCACCTTTGTGCTGGGAGGCCAGGCAGTCCCCGTGACCCACATGCCTGGGCCGAGAGATTGCACAGAGCACAGGGTGGTGGGTGGGGTCAGAGCCAAGGCCCAGGTAGGGACCTGGTGGTCACGGGGCACGGTGCGACAGCCCTGCAGCCACTTCAGCTTTTTCCTTTAAGTTTCAATGTTTCGTGGTGGGGAAACTGAGGCCTGGAGCAAGGTTGGTGCCTGGTCTCTGGCCTGCTGGGTTGCAGTTGTGCCAGGTGCCCTTCGATGCCTCGACCAACTTTCTGGCCGGGGAGGTGGATGGCATTTCAGGGGCCCAGCTCTGAGGGGTGGACGGTGAGAGCCCACGTCAGCCGCCACCCCTGCCAAGGGCCCCAGTGAGCAGCTGTCTCTGCCCTCAGCCCCATCGTCTCCAAGAAGGGGTACCTCCACTTCCTGGAGCCACACACATCGGGCTGGGCCAGGCGCTTCGTGGTGGTGCGGCGCCCCTACGCCTACATGTACAACAGCGACAAGGACACCGTGGAGCGGTTTGTGCTCAACCTGGCCACCGCCCAGGTGGAGTACAGCGAGGACCAGCAGGCCATGCTCAAGGTGCGGCTCAGGCTCAGGCACCGGGAACCCTGGCAGGGCAGGAGCTGAGCCACCATCCTCTGCTGCCTGCATCAGAGCGGGAGGCCCGACTGCTCACCCCAGGCTCTGGCGCCCCACCCTGTCACACAGAAGCTGGGCTCAGGGACTCAGCCTCAGGGATCCTCTGCCCTCTCTCACAGCCTCTCTGCCTGCCCAAGGGGCACATGGCCCTGGTGACAGCTAGCAGGGATGGGCTCTGGGCAGGGCAAGCATTAGTATTCTCCTGTGTGATGGCCACAGCCACGTCCCTTCCTCCTGGAGTCACCCAAGATGGGTGGCACCGGGCCTGCAGAAATGGGAGAGCAACAGGGCTCACAGGGGCCCTCCTGCCCCGACTCTGCCCAGCCCTTCCGGCGGGAATGGCTCTGGACAAGCTCAGGAGTCTGCACTCCCTCAGGCTGGCTGGGGAGAAGACTCTGAGCCATCTAGAGGCGGCCTACAGTGTCTACAAGGTGGTTTTTAATTCCCTGTGGTGGGGTGGGTGGTGTGAACCTACATCTGGACCAGCAGCCCAGGCGGGGTCCCAGGAACCAGGGGCCATGAGGGGCAGGTACGTGCCATGGGGATGCCGAGCAGTGGTGAGTGTGGTCCTGGGACCACTGGCCACACAGACGCATCCAGAAGGCCGTCACAGCCCCGGCCGAGTCAGCCTTCCCCTCTGGGTCCCCTCCCTGGGACTTTCCCAGGTGCCCCTTCCCTGCCTGCCTGGCCCTGGGGAACAGGAGGGTAGTGTGCTGACCATGACCCCCAGGCCCGCACCTCCTCACCAGCGGCCCCCTCTGCAGACACCCAACACATTTGCGGTGTGCACGGAGCACCGCGGCATCCTGCTGCAGGCCGCCAGCGACAAGGACATGCACGACTGGCTCTACGCCTTCAACCCCCTCCTGGCCGGGACCATACGGTAGGGCCTGCCTGCGAGGCCGCCTGGGGAAGCACTGCAGCCGGGGGAGGGGGCGTGGCCGGGGAGGGGGCGTGGCCGGGGAGGGGGCGCGGCCGGGGAGGGGGCGCGGCCGGGGAAGGGGGTGCGGCCTGCCCTTGTCTGCATGGGCTGGGGACGCCCGTAGAGCTGTTGGAGTGATAGATCCCAGGTCAGACTTCCAAAATGACATCCTAACCCGGTGGCCTTGGCATGGGGAAACCTCATGCACGTGGCAGGCTGCAGAAGGAGCCGGTCCCCCCCACGCAGAGACGTGCAAAGTGGGGTGCGGTGGGGATGGCTGGGCTGAGTCGCACAGGCCGGAAGCAGAGATTCAGCCCCTTCTCCGGGTGGTGAGGGAATCAGAGGGATGCGGGGTCGGTGGCTGCCCCTCAGGCTGCCTGCCTGCAGAGGGCACAGTGGAGATGGCTTGGAGCGTTCCGGGCCTGACCATGCCACCTCTGCCGACTCTCCTGCAGGTCCAAGCTCTCCAGAAGGAGGTCTGCCCAGATGCGGGTCTGAGCCCTCCCGTGACAGCCGGCAGGCTCAGCCTGTCCCTACCCTCGTCCCTGTCTGTCCTGTTACCTGCTGCCCTGCCCCTCCCCTGCCAGACCGCCCACGACCGGGTCGACCCCCAGGGGACGCCCATGCCAGGCCCTGGACCTGTGCCACGCGACCTGCTGTGCTCCCAGCAGAGGCTGCGAGTGCCATATCTTCTTGTAGTACATGCTCTGGGTGGAACACGCTGGGAGAGGCTGGGGGGCCAAGGGCACAGGTCACGGGGGTTCTTGCTGCCGTTCTAATATTTTTTTAAGCATAGACAGACTTATAATTAATATACGTTAGTTAGTGACGTTGAAACAGTCCACTTGGAAATTAACCATAAGACTTGTTGTATTTATAAGTATTTATTTCTAACGCCTCCACATAGCCCTATACTATTCAGATGGAACCCCCGACCACCTCCAACCCGTTTGTTCCCGTGTGTCTTCCAAGCCTGCTAGGGACAGGAGGGCAGGGCAGGGGCAGCCACCTCAGAGGGCCTTGGTGAGAAAGTGTCTGGACCAGTGGGGCACCTCTGGGCTAGCACACAGGTACATCGCCTGGGCCCCTGGCTTCTCCGTAACCACACGTGGCCTGGGGAGTATGTGTGGGAGGGTGGGGGAGTCTTCTGATGCCAGAAGTGTGAGCAGCCTGAAGGCTGGTGTGGGCTACTCGGGAGGTGGGAGGTGGAGCGCACATCCCTCTGGGCAGCCGCCTGAGACGTGACTCTAAGGAAAGTTCTGGCAGCTTCCCCCAGGAGAGGGTGTGGGGTGACACGCAGCTCTGAGATGAGGCAGATGGCACCCAGGCTGTGGAGATGTGTCCCGGGTGGAGAGCCGGAGGGAGCAGGGTCGGGGTCACCAGCCAGCGTGCAGACTGTGGGGCTGGGTGCTGTCCCTGGACCCTTGGGTTCAGGTGGCTGGGTTGAGACCAGGGTGTCAGGGAAGGTGGGAATTCAGGGTGACGGTCCAGGTGTGGAGGTCTGTGGGGCAGCCTCTTTGGCTGCAGTGAGAAATGGAGTGAGCTGAAGGTGGCTTCTGGGAAGAAATTCTGCCACTGCGGGTTTCCTATGAAGACATTCCTCTCTATTCCCAGGGAAGAGTTTCTGTGAGTCCCACTGAGAAAATCCCATGGGTTGGGGGTGTCCCTTTGTTCTGGTCCCATTTCATTCTCTCTGTAGACACCAATGTCCAAGGGCCGCCCAGGACAGGACAGGGCCAGCCCCAAGCTGAGAGTCTGGTCATAGCAGTCATGTCCAGAGGCCTGGGAGGTCTTAGGGCCTCCCCACCACAGCCAGAGGCCAACTTGGTCTCTTCAGCTCAAGGAAAGACCGTAGCCAAGCAGCAAAGCCCCTGTCCCACCATGGCCCATGGGAGCAGTTACGTGGGGTCTGGAGTTCCTGACCTAGGGCCAGGTGTTCTGGCCCCGCCCAGCACTTTCACCAGACCCTGCCTCCTGGAGTGGGGGAGATGGTTCCGAGGCCCCTGGCCTCCCAGGCTGTCCCACGTGATGGTCACATGAGGTTCAGAGACCCCGATCCCAGGCCTGGGGGAGAGACAGCCGGCCCAGGAGCGGGGAGCATGGGCCTTCTGTGCCACAGGGGAGGGCTCTGGCGTGAAGTTTTCCTTTGGGAAGGTTGTTTGGGCCCCTTAAGTTCCACCTCGGAGAGCGGGGTGCAGGGCAGGCGGGCCAGGGCCCACAGGGACTGCAGTCTCTGTGGCTGCCTGCTGGGGCCAGCCTGGTTGGGAGCTGGGACTATAGGCTCGCCTTTTCAAAGCTGGGCTCAGGTGCTGTGTGGTGCGTGTGCCCTCACCCCCTACCTGGAAGGCTCTCCCAGGGGCTGATGGTGGGTTTCTGAGTGAGAATCATGGTTCAGGAAGCCACGCCTGGGAAGGCAGGACCGAGAGCTTTATTTGGAAATCTCCCAGGTGAGGTTCACATTCCAGAATAAAATTCAGAAGCCAGGTGTCCTTTGGAGGCAGTGGGCCGAGATGCTTCTTGCAGAAGCACCTGCTCTGGACGCAGGGCCGCCTGGAGGCAGGGAGGAGAGGCAGGGGCAGAACACGCTGGTCTGAGAGGAGTCGGAGCCCCATGGGCCCCAGGCAGGCCAGAGGAGGCACAGGCCCCACCACGGCCAACTCAGGTCAGCCAGCCTGAGGCTGCGGCCTCCAATGGGTCTGGGTGCCACCCAGGTCGCAGGTGTCTGAGGCCAGCCAACCTGCAGAGCACCTGCGGCATGGGTGGAGCTGAGGGGAGGAGCCTGGGAGCCGCCTGAATTAAGAAGCCTCCACTGCCATGGAGGCTGCCGGGCGTGCCCTCTGGCCAGGTGCCATTTTGGCCTTGACTAGGAGCCTTGACTCCCTCCCTCCAGGCCTGCTCTAGTGAGGGATGCCAGGGCCCGGGAACCCAGAGTTGCTGGTGAAAGGAAAGCCAGCTTCTGGAAGTGCGCTCTGCCAGAAACCCCCATGTTTGCATTAGCGGAGTTCTCTGAACGCCCAGGACTCAGTTTCCACAACTGTGAGGTGGAGGTGCTCATGGGGTGCAGGGCAGAGGAGACGGTGGGAAAGGTGAGGCAGGTCTGGAGAGCCGTCTCCCTCGGAGGGGTTCATTGAGTGCTTTATACTGCGGAGTCTGAGGGCTTGGTTTGGTTTCAAGGCAGCCATCCTCCATGGGAAAGGGGGAGCCCCTTCTGCTGCGGTCCCAGATAGAAGGGGATGCCGGGCCCCAGGCAGATCAGCACTGGGGCCCTGGTGAGACCCGACCAGTGCCCGGGCGTGGCAAGTCCAAGGCCTCCCACTGGGAGTCATCACCGGAAGATGCCAGTGTTTCATTCACCAGCCGCGAGGGCACAGACCCTCCCCACCCAGGACAGCTGTGGTGAGGTGGCCCCTGTCGCCCCTGGTCCCTGGTGGGGCTGATGTTACAGGTGTTTGCCGTGCTGCTGCACTGGTCCTGTGCCAGCCTCGCCCATGCAGCGACCACGGAAGGCTCACTCCCTTACCCCTGGGGCCGGGCCGCTGGGTCCTCCAGATGGACAGCAGCTGTGGCAACCTGTGTTTCTCCCTGGACCTGTGCTTCCGTAGCTAGTCCGTCCCCTGGTTCCCCTGTGGCTCAGAGGCCGCGTCCCTGGCTTGTACATATGTGATTGCTGTGGGCACACCCAGACCCCGTGTCGTAGCTGCCGTCCCCACGTCACGACTCCCGCCCCCATGTCTTACGCCTGAGTGTCAGCCTTCGGCTCCTGTACCGTGTGTGCACTTGATACTGTGTCCAATTAAAAATAAATGGGATGCGTCCGTGGGCTCTGCTGTGGCTTCACTCACGAGCCAGGTGTGTTGGGGGGGGCTCAAAACATGATTGCAGGTGGGAGCATCCAGCGCGGTCCAGAGACAGTGCCCCTCCCCCAGGGATGAGGCAGGGAGGGGCTGGCTCTGGAGGTGGGTAGGGAGAGGTGATGGGAGGGCGTCGAGGACTGAGTGTACACTGGGTGCTGGTCTTGGAAGACCCACCTCCACCTGTCTCCCTCCGTGACCAGCTGCACCCCTGTGAACCAGCCCAGGCACCTCTGCAGGGACACAGTACCTCCCACCCTCATGCCAGGCCACTGCACCATCCCAGGCAGCCTCTGGGGCCTGAATTCTTCAGAGTCTCCGGCCCATGGGGTCTGTGCCTGGCCAGATCCTCAGAGCCTCCTGGAGTTATGGGGGCCAGGTCATTGCACACGGGGGTCTTGGGCTTGACCAAGAGCCAGTGTCACACTGATGGCTGATGGGAGGATGGGGTGACAGCTGTGTACTTCAGGGGACTCTGGGAAGGGCCTCCAGTCCTCAGAAGCCTCCATGCCCTCCAGAGGTGAGTGGCTTTATGTCACAGGCGACAGCCATCTCCAGGACGTTGAGTGAGGGTGGCACCGCTTGGAAGGCAGTGCCCCTCAGTGGGCCTGGGAGGTGGGCCCTGCTGGCCAGCATGGGGACTCCAGGGCCTGTGTAGGGTCACCCTCTGGCTGCAGGTGGGAGGGGCTGTGTCGGGGCTGGCATAGATACTGCTCCTCCCGCGAGGAGGACTCCTGTTTGAGAGGCTTAGTCTTCCGGTCCTGAGATTATAGACTTAGAACTCTGCCACCGGGGTGCAGGGCACACACAGTGCCACCTGGGTGCAGGGCACACACAGTGCCACCTGGGTGCAGGGCACACACAGTGCCACCGGGGTGCAGGGCACACACAGTGCCACCGGGGTGCAGGGCACACACAGTGCCACCTGGGTGCAGGGCACACAGTGCCACCGGGGTGAAGGGCACACACAGTGCCACCTGGGTGCAGGGCACACACAGTGCCACCTGGGGTGCAGGGCACACACAGTGCCACCTGGGTGCAGGGCACACACAGTGCCACCTGGGTGCAGGGCACACAGTGCCACCGGGGTGAAGGGCACACACAGTGCCACCTGGGTGCAGGGCACACAGTGCCACCTGGGTGCAGGGAACACACAGTGCCACCGAGGTGAAGGGCACACACAGTGCCACCTGGGTGAAGGGCACACAGTGCCACCGAGGTGAAGGGCACACACAGTGCCACCTGGGTGCAGGGCACACACAGTGCCACCGGGGTGAAGGGCACACACAGTGCCACCTGGGTGCAGGGCACACACAGTGCCACCTGGGTGAAGGGCACACACAGTGCCACCTGGGTGAAGGGCACACAGTGCCACCGAGGTGAAGGGCACACACAGTGCCACCTGGGTGCAGGGCACACAGTGCCACCGGGGTGAAGGGCACACAGTTCCTGAGCAGTTTTGTTTTGTTTTTTTTTATAACTCCTTGTGAGCTTACCATTATTTCAAAATGAAAAATAAACCTTTTTTATTCATTGGATTTTCTAGTTTTTCTACAATGAATTTGTGTTACTGTGTCATTCTTTTAAAAAGTAAGAGGCCGGGCGCGTTGGCTCACGCCTGTAATCCCAGCACTTTGGGAGGCCGAGGCGGGTGGATCACGAAGTCAGGAGTTCAAGACCAGCCTGACCAACATGGTGAAACCTCATCTTTACTAAAAATACAAAAATTAGCTGGGCATGGTGGCGCGTGCCTGTAATCCCAGCTACTCAGGAGGCTGAGGCAGGAGAATTGCCTGAACCCAGGAGGCGGAGGTTGCGGTGAGCCGGGATCGCGCCATTGCACTCCAGCCTGGGCGACAGAGTAAGACTTCATCTCAAAAAGAAAAAATGAAACTGACAGAATTAACCTTAACCCACAAGCGGCTGTGCCTTCCAGTGCTAAGGAGAAATCTGCCACCACCTCTGCTTCCACCTGACCTTGTTCTTGGGGCCCCAGGGATGACGTGTGTTGTCTGAAGGTTCTGGAAGACCAGGCAGTGGAACCGGGAGTGTGGGCTGAGTGGCGCCGGGCTTCAGAAGCTGGTGCCTTCCAGCAGCAGTGTGGCTGGGTTCTGGGACCTGGGACCACTCTGTGTCCTGATCATCCTGTGCCCTTTGGGGTCTGGCTCACCCTCCCCGGCTCCACCCTCTCTTGGCTGGTCTGGTCTTTCTGGCCACACTGGTGCCTCGGCGCAGCCCTGGCTGGGGGTTCTCCGAGGCCCGAGAACCATTCAGACCCTTCGGATGCCCGCGAGTCTCCGCTCCCATCTAGGAAGTGGCACAGTGACTCAACGCGGATAGACTTATGTCTTAACTACAGTGCCGGCTTCTGCACTGGGGGTGGTCCTTTAGGGGTCTACACTGGCTTTCACAGCCTCCAGGATGTGTAGAGGGTAAAAAAGCCTGGAAGCCCCAGCCTTGAGAAGAGGGTCCACACCTGTGCAGACAGCCAGTGATAGCCCCAACCTGGTCCCCAGGGAGAGGTGGCCCGTAAGGCAGCTGCTCCCTTCTGCCCCAGCCTCCTGCCCCCTCGACACCTCCTGCTGCTGCCCCAAAGCCTGACTCAGCCCAGGGCCCCTTCCGTGCCCTCTGTGAGCTGGCGGCTGAATGCTGAGCCTAGGGCCCGGGGAAGCTCCCTAGGTCCCTGCCTGTGCAGCAGATCCTGAAACTGAGGCTCAGACCCCAAGATGGTTCCAGAACCCTGGGCTGAGCTTCGCTGGCCCATCCAGCCTGTGCTCTCTACTCCACAAGGCCTCACGGCTGGCCCCGTGGGCCCTAGGAACGGACCAAGCCACAGCATGGCTGTCCAGAGGCTCACGTGTCCACTGGACGTGTTGTGTCTCTGGGCAGCAGAGCCCTGGCCTTGGGGACACCCAGACAGGATCCAGCCAGACTCCTCATCCCACTGGGGTGACACCCACTGGCCAGCTAAACCCACCTGGACCCTGGGCCAGAGGGCTGCAGGCATGTCCTGTCTACCCGCCAGGAAGCAGGAACAGGGACTTAACCCTTGCCCCCGAGGTCTTCTCTTCCCACCAACCACCACCTGGAGCCCGCCAGGCCGCAGCCAGGAGATCTTGACTTCACAGGTGTGCTGGGTGTCAGAAGGATTCCACCGCAAAGCAAAGGGTGTTTCCCAAGAAGAATCAAGGAGCTGCCTCTCTCCCCTCAGGGCGGGCTTCCGGTACCTGGCCCAAGAGAGCTTGCAGCTTCCCACCCGCTCTACCCCCCACACGCTGCATGCTCCTCGTCTCCTGCATGGAGCCAACCGCTGCTTTCCTGATTCCTCCACGCTGTGCTTTTCACAACAGCAAACAGCAGCGCAACGTGGTCCTTACACATAAAACCGCGCTCCTACCCTACTTCTGGGGACAAAGTCCTGGCCAGAACTACCTTGTGGGAGTTTGTATGAACTCCTCTACGCATATGGATGTATTCATACGTGCCTCCTACGTGTGTGCCCATCACACACGCACTCGAACGCACACACACGGACACCCATGCACACCCCCACACGTACATACACACACGTGTGTGCACACACGCACATGCACATACGCGCACACACACGGACACCCATGCACACCCCACACGTACATACACACACGTGTGTGCACACACGCACATGCACATACGCGCACACACACGGACACCCATGCACACCCCACACGTACATGCACACGTGTGTGCACACACGCACATGCACATACGTGCACACACACGGCTTCTGAAGGTAATGCCTGTCGTTCTCTCACTGCATGTCTGAGTCTCTTTAGTCTTCCCCATTTGATAGGTGATAAATGGCACCTTATCATTTTTCAGTTATATTTATTTGTGTTGCTAAATTATTTTCATCTGTTTAATAGATTTTTTTTTTGAGTCTCTGCCTCCCAAGCTGGAGTACAGTGGTGCAGTCTTGGCTCACTGCAACCTCCGCCTCCTGGGTTCAAGTGATTCTCCTGCCTCAGCCTCCCAAGAAACTGGAATTACAGACACTCACCACCACACCTAGTTATTTTTTGTATTTTTAGTAAAGATGGGGTTTCGCCAGGCTGTCCAGGCTGGTTTTGAACTCCTGACCTGCAGTGATCCACCCACCTTGGCCTCCCAAAGTGCTGGGATTACAGGCGTGAGCCACTGCGCCCGGCCTGACTATTTTTACTTCTTTTGTGACTTGCCTGTATGTCTCCTGCCAAGCTTCTCTCTTGATTTGCAGTCAGTCACACGTATATTGGCAGCTCATTCCTTTGTCACATGTTCGAATTTCCTAACTTCATCTTTCTGTTTTGTTAATCTTTTATTTTGCCTTGTAAAATTATGTTCAATATTTTTGAAAGTCAATCATAGTTTCTTTTCCAAAATTTCTAATTTTGGGCATTGTGCCGAAAAGAATCAGCCCAACAGGCTTGTGCCTGCTGTTCCTTAAAGGCCTGCTCCAAAGTCGATCCTCACATGGCATCTGGGGACCTGGCACTTGATGGTGATGACGGTCACTTTGCCCGGACTGTACAAACAATGTAGCCCATGATGCACGTTCCGTCTGAGTGTGGAGTTTGGTGTGTTCCGGGCAGGGCGTGACCAGCTTCCAGTCAACACCTCAGGCACTGAGTCTCTGCTCAGCTCTCTGACGGCAGCTCTGAGTACAGACGATCATGCGTGGCTGCTGGGAATGAAACACGTCCCGTGTTATCCGTGGAGAGGGGCAGCTCTGCGTAGAGACGGCCATGCGTGGCTGCTGGGAATGAAACACGTCCCGCGTTATCCGTGGAGAGGGTCAGCTCTGAGTACAGACGGCCATGCGTGGCTGCTGGGAATGAAACACGTCCCGCGTTATCCGTGGAGAGGGGCAGCTCTGAGTACAGACGGCCATGCGTGGCTGCTGGGAATGAAACACGTCCCGCGTTATCCGTGGAGAGGGGCAGCTCTGAGT